AGTGTATATATATATATATATATATATATATATATATATATATATATATATATATATATATATTCAGTAAGATTTCTGCACCTGTTGACAGATATGCTGCTTCACTGTTCATTAGAAAGGTACTTTAATTTGTCTGGGAAAGTTTTTTGTTTAGGTTTTTATTTATTTTTTCAGAATCAATATTTTATTTTACTGAATTATCTTTTGGTAAACATTTATTAGTTCTTCAGCTTTGTTTAATTTTGATTACTAGTGTGAAATTATAATTTTCTTTAATGGGAGGGTATGTAAACTTTCAAGCACGATTGTATATCTTATGCTTCAAATATCTTGCAAAGCTTTTTAAATCTATCATCTAAAATGGAAAAGAAAGTATGTACAACAACAAACCAACCATGATATGGGTTCCTCTTCACGAAGCAGGTTTAATAAAATCAGATTTAAATCCGTAACTCTAAATTGATCTAGCCAAAGTTTGTTAACTCTGAGTTTTTGGTTACACAATGGCTGCTATGAATTAGTTTAATCAACTCTAAGTAGATCCACTTAGAGTTGAACACATGCGTAACAAGTATGAAAAGCCATTATCAGTGGAACCCCGATTTGACGAGTCATGACAACAGGCAACAGGAAGTATCCGTTTCACCTTACTGTAACTAGAGATTTCAATGAAGGAACAAAAAAAGAAAAAAAGGAAAATGTGTTAAAAAAAAAAAAAAGAGTTCCTGTCCCTCTCCTCCTGGCACAAAACGCACATGTGTTTAAAAGACAGAGAAACATTGCTACAGCCGCAAAGGAGAGGAAGATGGCGAAGGATAAAATTGGTGCTCTAGTTAATGTAAGTTTATATGAAGTGGGCTACAGCAGGAAGTTTTTACATATCTTAAAAGCACTTCCTTTCTGTCGTTCCATTTGTTGATCACTAAAATAAGATTCTTCCTTATAAAAATCACACCAGCCTCTACATCTCTCCTGTGAAATAGCATCATACTATAGAGATCCTGTGTTTATGCAGTGACAGGGAAGATCATTGGAACTGGGTGACTACTCTCATTATGTCCCCTAAAAAACAGCCAGACATGACATAAAGGTTAAATTCAAAGCATAATCATAAGTTCAAATAACTCATTCAAAGTTTATGTGTGAGTCTGGCTGAGAATCTGTGCCAAGACTTTAATACTTAGTGCTCAATAATTCAAAAGTTGAGTTATTTTGGAAGACGCTCCCAAATGTATTCCCCAATGTGGTATAAACCAACCCAAAAAAGAAATGCAATATTTTTACATGTAATGTATGTTGTTGAACTGGGTACTTAAGATGCATGTATGGCTTACTGCTGTTTTTTTCTTTGTAAACATTTTTTGGAAGAAATGGTATAAGTTGAGAATCACACGCTACTAAATTTCAAGGGGTATAAGTTGTTTTGTGGATGATGAACATCTTGACATTAAACATGTACCCTCTAACTAATAAATTATACCTTTTTTCTCAGCCTTCTGATACCTGGCATTGGTGCCTCGATGATGTAAACCACTTTTCCGGTTAATGAGACGTTATATTAAAGACACGAGAACTGGCAGATTTCTGACTTTTGTCATTTTTTCAAAAGAGTTGCTGTGGTTAGACTTACTAACAGAACCTTGTGACGCCTCAACATATCGCACATATCTGCAGTGCAAAGGTGCAGGTAGGTAGAACTCAAGGAGCCACGTTCCTGAACCCGTTTTTGTGAATGAGCAGGAGTACAAGTCATAAGCTGTGGTCTCGAGCTGAGATGAAACCTAAACTGCCTTTTAATTCCAACTAGCTCTGACTAGTTTGACGCAACCTGGGGGCATCTTTGCTGGAATCACAGACTCACAACTTCAAGTCAAAACCTCAGCTACCGGTTTTTTACCTCCCAGCTGTTCCATGCAGGTTTTAACATGGTTTAAAGGGCTTAAAAATACATCTGAAAAGCCTCAGTTGACAAGAATTGAGGAAGAACAAAGTTTTACTATTAAAGGTAAGTTATAATACAGTTTGTTTTTACTTTCAGAGACACTAGATTATGATCCTGAGGTAAGTCTGGCATTGGCAGCGAAGAACATGTTTTTTTGTTTGTTTCCTTGTCAAAGAGCATCACAATAACAAAGAAAAAAAGAGTTAGCTTTCATTTATATTTTTATGAGTTTCCTATTGGTTTATTAAATTACTAATTAATGGAGACTGAGCACCTACTCTTTTTATGCATTGGGTTAGCGCTTACTTGAAATATGTCAGTCTGCCAAGGCCAGCTACAATCCTTAAGGGCACAAAGCTTACAGATCATTCCACTATTTGAGGATTCTGGATTATGCTTTATTTTTTAAGTTCAAAATCAGAAACACCATAAGAATCTTCAGATATGCTACACTGTAGTTTGAGACAAAATAAAGTCTTTTTCTCTTTAAATGTGGTTCTTTAATCATCATTACTTAAAAAAATGACTTAATTTTTGCAAGGATGATAAACTCTTGGGTCATTCTCATAAGGACTATATGTGTACTGCTATAGTGTTGTATTAAAGGTCAGATCATTTGTGTGGAGATCCATCTACTGCATTTATAAACGTAACTCATCTTTTACATTAGCTCAGAAGCAAGACTATGAAGATGGAATACATTTATGGTGCTGCCTACATTGCCTTTAGTGTAACTGGTTTAAGAAAATACAGAAAAAATAGACATGGCATAAAGTTAAGAAGTTTCAAGCAATGATAAAGTTATATAATTATACTCCAAAATTTCTACATCTCATGGAGTTCGATTTATTGCATCATCGGAAAAGGAGAGGAGGGTGGCAGGACTCCCCAAAAGAGATGCTGCATCAATGATGCCCATAGTAACTCTGGAGGAACTACAGTGATCTACAGCTTGGTGAAATAAGCTCTTCAGGACAGGTATTATTCCTGCACATCACAACACTGTTTTTAAAGAGTGAAAAGAGAAAAGCTACTCCAGAAAAAAGAACCACACTAAGTCCTGTTTGCAGATTTTTACAAGCCATGCGGAGGAACCAGTAAAGATAAGAAATAAGGTACTAAGGTACAAATAAGTAACATTTCACATAGTTCATGAACATTGCTTAAGACACGTCCATCCTGGGAGATTCATTCAATAGGCTGTGAAAAAGAGTTTGGAACAGCTGTTGACCTTCATGGAGGACAACAATCCTAAACATGCAACCAAAATAATTTCTTCCTTAATTGATTAATGAAGCCTACTATGGCGGAGTATTAAGGCCTGGCTAGAGATTTTTTATTAATTATTTCTATAATAAATAAAATAAAAAATCAAAATTTTAGGGAAGAAAGTGCTTCTTGTAAGAGTTGTCATGAAAAACAACTTTATTTTCATAATATTAGGACTTTATTCTCGAAATAAAATAAAGATCTCTAGCCTGGCCATAATACTACATTTCCTTGGTCTATCAGAATATATTGCACTAATGAAATGTATGGCTGTAAATACGGGTTTACATATAATTATATGGCATTATGATAAGCGGTTGTCACAGATGGACTCTGAAACATTTTTTTACCTATGCATTTGATATGAAACCCCTGTGGTGGCTTCAGGGTCCTCCTGGTCCATGCGCTCCTGAGCACCTGAAGCTGCGCCTCCTGGCTCTGGATCAGCAGCACACGCTCGTCTATCCAGCCGAGGAAGAAGACCTCTGGCAGAGCGTCGGTTAGCGCCTTGTTCCAGAACTGCTGCATGTTGGCAGCCTTAAAGCTGGCGAACACCTCGTAGCCGGACTGATGCTCTAACCTTTTCCAGACCTCAGCTGTTGATACTGCAGCCGCAGCTGTTGTTGATGAAGATGGGGAAGCCTCCTCAGCCTCCCCGCAAACCCGCGACAGCACCAGAGCCAGGGAGTGCGGAGTTATGAGGAGAAACTTCTCCATCCCTGCTTTACATACAGAAAAAGGATATTTCTGACACGTAAACCATTCAAGTCCTCAAATATCCCATGTGAACGCGTCTTAAATCTTAAATGACATTTATGAAGAAGAAGAGGAGCCTTTGTTCAGGACAAGCATGTAAAACGGGGAGTTCAGAGGCATTCACTGTTCTCCAACTGTAACTGTCAAAGAGCATTAAGACCGACTTTCAGCCACAAAAGAGGCGAGGACTTTGTGCTGCGTTCAAAGCTTGCTCGTAATCTAAATAATTCCTAAGTTTTGCCGAGCGTTGCCATGTTTGCGCCTCCATTGTAATTGTTATAATCACAGATGAGAACTACGACTAAACTTCTTTAACCAAAGGACTTAAGGAAACGACTAAAAAACAGCTAGAAATGCATGGAGGAGTGAAAATAGGCAAAAACATCTGGTCAAGGATATATATATATTTTTTTCAACAAATGGTTAAAAAATGAAAAGTTGCAAAATGATGTTTTCTAAACCCAGAGTTAAAATCTAACAAATTAACTGCTGGTCCAGAAGACATGACTTCACATTCCATTTGAACGTAGCAACTACAAAGGCTGCTGGTATTAATGCGATATAAACACAGCATATCAATTTTCCTTAAAGTTTCACTTTAAGGACTGCTGCCATCAACACCTTTGTTTTTATAGATGTTGGTGATCCGCCTGTTTTTCCAGTGTAGTCCTGTTTCTCTGACTGTGACTGGCTGGATGTGCTCTCTTCATCCTGACATGGGAGTAGGCTCAGACCTCGTCTGTCTAGCTGTGTGTTTCCTGGACGGGGTCGCCTTTTAAAGATGTTTTTTTGTATCTCTGCTTCTGTCTCCTTGAACCCCAGTCGGCCTCGGCAGATGGCAGCTCACACTGAGCCTGGTTCTGCTGGAGGTTTCTTCCTGTTAAAGGGAAATCTTTCCTCTTCACTGTCGCTACATGCTTAGTGTGAGGGATTGCATCTGAGTCAATGCAATCAACTGTTTGTTCTTAGATAGAAAACTTTCAATCAATAAGACTATGATCTGGTGAACTGTAAAGTGCCTTGAGATGATGTGTGTTGTGATTGACGCTATATAAATAAACTGAGTTGAACTTAAGTTTAACTTCATTTGTAAAACCACATTTTGCTTTAGCAGCATATCCAATAACTGATCAACAGTAATTTAGGTGAACAGGTTGAAAAACTTAGCAGACCATAAAATAATTTTAAAAAAGGACAGTGTGGTCAACTAAATTCAAAATCAGGATGTTTAGAAAATACAGCATTAAAGAATTTGAGTGCTAGTTTGCGTGATAAAAATCAAAATCCTTATTGTTTTGCTGCCACAAGAAAAAAATTGTTGGCACCATCAGAGCAATTAAAAACTATAATATATTATTTTATTTATCGGGTCAAAATTGTAGCAATAAAATGCAGTAAGTAGTCAAATAAGAGTCTGATGGCTTTAGACAAGCAGCTTTCTAATGGTTCAGCTCTACTTTATCAAATACAGTTGTACAAAGTTGCTTTATGCAGCAGGGTGAGAAGGGATAGATGTGATGGTCTTTGTCCTCAGGAAGGGGACATCCCACCATCTAATTTGTTGTTTTGGCCAACTGGGCAAAGTTCCTTCTTTCCTGTCACACTTTAGCCCTTGGACACAGGATGCAAAATGACAACTTTTATAAAATTTAAAGATTTGATAGCTTGCTTCCCTTGATCATACAAGAAATCTTCATACAAAACCAATGACCTTAGATATGCTGTTACTACACGTGGTTCTACCAGCTGTTAAGTTTCGTGTACTTCTTTATTCTTGTACTGAGCTAACAGACATGGAAACTTCCTTTTCAATTTGCTTATCCATTTTTATTTAAAGTACCTTTTCATGCAGTGATGAGAAAACTTTTTCCTGCAACTGCCACAAAAACAATAACAAATGCCAGTACTATTGAAAAGATAAAGATGTGAGCTCTGAACATTAAACCAAACAAGAAATGTATGACTAAAAGTTTATTTTTCAGAACAAAAACCTTCCATTGAGTTAACAGTGTAGCTACTAGTTAACAGTGATATTGTATATAACAAATGTAGTAACAGGAAGTGTCCAACTTTAATATGGAATAAACTAAAACTAGCAAAAGTGAATGGTACTTACTTTAACTGGATTCATACTTACAACCACAATAATAAAAAAAACTATAAATTCAAGAGAACCTAGAAAAAAAGCATTGCAGCACAATTCCAATCATGGGCCCAATTGTTTCCCTTTTATAGGACACTTTAAATGTATTCATTTTGCTTAGATTATCCATGCAAACTAATATAAAAAGGTATCACAATATTGGAAAATGGCTGCATGGCTTTCATGGTTTCCGTAAAAAAAAGCTAGTGCACATAGTTATTGCTGTGCTAAATGTGTTTCACCCATACTTAGCAATTAACAGGATCTAAGTCAAAACAAAATGTTTTGAAAAGGCTTTCAGCTGCAATAAACAAAAGCAATGTCAGACAGGATATTCTTGATGTGGAGAACCTTTTTTGTTTATTTTGCAATGGATAACAACTCACTATTGCTTTCAGTTTTGCCATTTGAGTTTAAAATTGGGCATCTGATCACTGCAAAAAACAAAAGAAACAAAAAACCCCCCCCAAAAAAACAAGGTTTACGAGTGAAACTCTCTCTTAAGCCATTACTTTGAACTTACTTTGAAAACAACTGATCAGAAGAGATTTAATATCAGACCATAAAAGACAAACCCAGTTCAGAGCTGTGTAAAGGAGCTTAAAGAACGCTCCTGACATTAGCACATATTTTTTCTAACATTATTTGGATTCAGATTGTACAATTTAATGTCTGATTTCACACATGATTCTGCTTAATTGCTTAAGATGATTATAAAAGTACAAAGTACTAGAGTCAAACTCACTGTAAAAAACTATTTCCCTGAAATGTGTCAAGTGTAAACAGTAAAGACGTAAATATCAGTAGATGCTGGTCATTTTAACCCCCGGTTATTTCACACTTTTGATCATTTGTGAATGTTACGTACCTGAGATTATTCATGCAAACGAAGCACTGATCATGTCTCAATACAAATCCACCTTAGAGGCGGTTCATACTAGAAAATTATTTAAAGTATTTTCCCCTCACACCTGCTGTAAGTAAATACAGGTGTGCATTCTAATAAGTATTATCTACTACAAGAAGGTCTCTTAAAGTGGATTTAATCAAGAGCAGAGTTGCAAAATATATCAACTGCAAATATATCTGCAATACACTGCATTTGCAAAGATTGCTTCCTAAGTAAAAACATTTTACATTCCTTACCCTTTACGCTGTTTCCAAATAATTCAGTTGAAGTTTCCAAGGCCTTGATTGACACACATAATATGCAGTGTAATGAATAAGCATCTGTGCCCTCAATATTTTCATTACATTTGCACCTTTTAACATATCTAAATGCTTAGGGTCAGACAAATTTAGCTAAAAACTATTTTCTGTACAAGTTGCAGTACATAATCGTTACTAACTGGCCAACCAATTTTCTATCGTAATAGCCACACACAGACCTGAAAAATGAAAAAATCACCTAAATAGAACTGACCTGACAACATGAACTAGATTATAAGCTCTAGAAGACAAGAAAACCTTAATCCAACAGAGAGTTTCAGGGCAAAATCACTGTGGGCCAAAAAGGCTGCAGGGACCTAAAAAAAGTATCTTTGTTTTACATCTAATACAAAACTAAACACAAACATGATGGTGGTACTGGGATATTGAAACCACAAATGCTGCTTTGTAGTAAAAAATAGCCAAGAAGTTTAATGCTCAGCCTATCTGCTAACTTTAGAATGCAATAATGAAAGTCTGAATTTTTATTACTAATAAAATAAGGCTGGAAAAGAAAGTGTGGGTTGTTATGAACCCATTCTATGGCTCAACATTCAATAGTCCAATCATTTCACAGGACAATATTTTGAAATCTCATGTCAATCAAGAGGCAAAAACTGTTATATTTAAGAGCCGACAGGCTCATTCTAAGATCAGAACAACGTTCTTTGAAAAAATAATAAAAGATGGAAGATTTAGGTTTTTTTTATGATTATTTCCACAAGATCCGTAAGTGCTTTACAATGCAGAGAAATTGTCCAAAATGCAATCATCAGATTAGAAAATAGTTGGTCAACCGGTCCAAAAAGGTAACAGGAAATGAGAGAGAATCTGTATCCTATAAAGTAGGAGAATAATTTGGGTGAATTATGGGAAAACCAACCTAGAACCCACATCAATCACACCATGTAAGCTCAAACTCACAGAGCAGGAAGTTTTCATCAACTGTATTTATAGTATATCAGTTTGTTTTGGCCTAAGAAAAAAAAAGAAAAAAAAACTGAAACATTTCTACAGCTGTGTGTATATAAAACAAAAAGGCACATGCAAAATAAAAAACGAATAACGTTCATTTTAGAAATACACAATAGAAAGTGAGAAACTAATTCCAAAGCCCGTGAAAAATAACGTTTGTAATGCATGACGTTGCACCAAGAAATGTAATTTTCAGCCGATTATTTGAGTAGAAACTACTATGTCGAACCCAAGTCTTAATCTTGTCTGTCAAGCTCAGGTTCCCTGAGTAAATTCAACATCAAGGGAAAAAATACATCTCTTTGGTCAGCATGGACACAATGCAAGGGATCTGCTTCCTTGCATTGAACCCTGGTGAATTGGACACAGACTCAAATTCTACTGCCACCTTGTGGTTTACTCGTGTCATGATATGCAGGAGCTCCAATTCTTTTCCATATTTGCTGATTAAGTCACAAAGTGACTGGATAAACCAGGACCCACTCATGGTGTTCCTCCAGGAGTAGTAGCCTGCATGAATCACAGATGTTTAACCTGGATTAGTACATAATAAAAAAAGCATTCTAGAAATTAAAACATGTTTATGCATTAACCTGGGGCTGTGGAGTAGGCATACAGAAAGTCTGCTTCCACTGGGATCTTTGTGTTTTCCTGGCTATCTGATTCAACACCTGGATCAAGATCTGTGCCTCTGCAAGCCTACTCAGAGTGGAAAACAAGCAAACGGTTAGAAAACTTAAATGGATGAGCAAAAATAAATAAACGGCAACCCCTTAGCCTACCTGGATGAAGAACAGTTTGGGTTTTCCCACCAGAGATTTACAACGGTCGCCTCTGAAAAACGAGGTAAGCATCTGAAGCTGCAGTGGGCCATCGGTCCCAAAGAATATGCCTTCATCCCCGTGGCTCAGGAGAACGCAGACAAATGAAGCAGAGTTGCTGTGATCTTCCTGGGATGCTACAGAAACAACGGAGAATGAAAAAAAAGATGTAGAAAGCACTAATAGAAAACTTGCTCTACAAAGTATTTACCCCATTTACAAATGTGTTTTTGCCTTTTTCCTGCACATTAACTTTCATTTCATGAAACAGACCAGCATTAATAAAATTAAATGCATATAAAAATGTATATGTATAAAGGAAAAGAGTCGATAAGTCAATCAAAACACTACAGGGAAGCTACATTGAGTCGCAACCTTCAATTTAACTGATAATTTGTCTCAGGGTTTTCATCATCTGTCCAAGAGTCCTTCCTATTGGTGTGGAGGATATTTGGCCCAATGTTCTCAGAATCTTTAGACAAAACTTTGACTAGGCTTCAACTAAACCTAGGTTATTTGAGTTATTCAGAAGTGGACTTTGCTCACGTGCTATGAATGGTCCTGCTGCAAAACTAAACTTTTATCTTTAAAAAAGATTAAGGTCAAAATGATGGGGAGAGATTCTCCTTCTGAAGTTTGTGCTACAGAGCAAAATTTACAGTTGAATTATGTAAAGCAACTCTGCTTAAGTATTAGCTTATTTTGAGATGTACCGGTATATAAAATAATTGTTGGGGGGTAAATATGCAGCATTCAGTGCTCTATGTGGGCTGTTCTTCCTAAAATCACCTCTATGCAACTTGAGACGGTCGTGTGACCAAGAGCGCTTCTTTATGGCAGTTTGAGCTCCCCTTAAACATGAGAGCTAACAGAGTTAAACATTGTTGGCAGCAAAATAGACACTTAGCTGATCAGACATAATTTAGCTTCTCTAATGTAGGATGTTATCTAGAGGGGTGAATGAGGTCTTGTCTTTTCAGTAACTCCTTAACTTCTTCACCTGTTGGTACAAAGTGGTCTGCATTCAGATTCTAAAACATGGAGGGAGACTGGTTCATTTTGTGACAGTGCACCCTTCCCAGGTGCTTTGAACCGGCAACTCTTAAAGGTATAGAGGAGGATGTTCTTTTTCCGGGAGGAACATAAAAATAAGGGGCCCTCCTAATTGTCAATCTTTCTGGTGATATGTTAACGTAAGGCCGTCCTACCTACCCATTTCACTTATTGGTGGTGAGTCTGACATAGTGGAAAAATCTTCTTTTGGAAACAGCAACTTTTAAACAGAGCATGCATGAGGAGAAATGGGCTCATGCATGCTCTTGCACACGTTTGATAGGTGTTCCCTCTCTGGAGCTGGTACAGGGTTGTGCATGTGTATTTTTTTTTTCCAAAAATTGCAAATTCCTCCACTATACCTTTAAGCTAAAAGTTAAACGTTAAACGTTGTCGCTTAAAAATAGGTTTTCTAGGTCCTGAATCAGGAAATGAGCTCCAATCACATTGCCCTCCTGTAGCTCTAAAGCCTCTCCAGACTGAATGTTTCTTACCTGTGCTTGAATTTCTTTAGACACGGACATGATGTGTTGGTATTTGAAATATCTTAGCCTATTTCATGTAGTCAGGCATGTTCTATTCAGGCATTTTTATTTTTATTTGGATTATACAAGTCAAGCTGTGGTCAGATCAGGGTGACTGAAACTTTTGTATTTTAACATATGAAATCATCATTTGGATACTATACTCTCTTTTTTTTTTTTACTCACATATATATTTTTTTGAAAATATAGTAAAAAATATAGGAAATGTGTTAGGAGGCAAACACTTCAAATATTTCCAAGAGTGTTGAGGAATAATTTACTCACCTTTTCTCAAAATATTAATCATCTGATCGGTTGTTTGGTCATTGTGAATCTTCACTGTATACCCCAGCTTTGTAAATACTTTAAACACATTGCCTGCATCAACATCTGTGCCGTTCCTCTGATTCATGCCTGACAAAAAAAAAAAAAGAAGTAAAACAGATCGAGTCAAATTACTTCACACGATAACACTGTTTTTAAAAAAAATAAATAAATAAAAAGAAAAGGGAACAACTTTAACCTGCTAATTTTTGTATTTCAAATGATGCATGATTCAGAGTTCTGGTTAATTGTATTAATATTTTCTCTGATCAACACAAAAGGAAAATTACAAATATATTTCTAATGTACACAAATAAACTCATAAGTGGTGCACAAGGCTCATCAATGTCTTAATTTGAGAATACCAACGCCTATTAACTTCTGAGTCTTGACATGATTAACAGTTTATTTCTCACTGGTAACATAAAGACGATTTGTTTGCAATCACTGGATTAAACAAAAGATTGGAAAATTCAGCTCATTTTGCTCAAAGATTGAGCTATTTAGCCACATTTGAACAAACTATTCATGGAGAAGTTAAAAAGAGTCAGAGTGGTGGTAGTAACATAATATGGGGCTGTTTTGCTGCTAGTAATGCTGGTGAATGGAAAAAAGCAGCAACATCTTCAGATGCAGATCAGATTTTTTTTTTGTTTCAGCATTCTTAATGTGTCAGTTTGTGAGTTGAAATCAAATACTTAAAAAAAAATAAGGAATTTGGTTATGTAACACGCTGGTGTTTTAGCAATGAAGTTATGAAAAGACCAAATACACATAACTGTCAATTATTAGCCAATAGAAAGAAGCGTTGTTGTATACTTTCCATTAAGGTTCATTGTCCCACTTTAAAGTATAATAGTGTATGCAGTCAGGGTCTAGTTTTTAAACCTTCAATTTATCATAAAAAAGAAGCAATGTACCATATATCATGGAGACTAAGTTAGATGCAATGAGACAGCAGCACAATAAACCTGAATAGGATGCCAGTGTTTACCCCAGTCAAATACTGCCTTATAACAGCTTCTATGGAACCATGTGTTCTTTTTGGTTCCTGCTAGACAGGTTTTCAAAACAAAATCCACTCAGAGATTACTGTGCACGTCTGTCGGTGAGCCGACTGAAACTACCTTCAGTGGAAATCATATCCAACTTCCTTCCTTATCTGACAATGTTTGTTTTTTTCCTTAATAGAAGCAGAAACGGGTCATTCACTTCTTAAGCTTGAGTTACATGATGGATGCCCACATCCAGTCCTGTACAGCTACTATCCTGTAACGTTTACATGTATCCCTGCTCCAACACACATGCATCTAATAAATGGGTCATCAACATGCCTTTCTAAAGCTGAATGGCTGGGAATGAAGAAGTGACGGTGGATCCAAACCATCCAGCTGGTCAAATATAAAAGCTACATGGAGAATTTAAATACCTGTCATTTGAAACTACATATATTGTAGTTGCTCTTCCATAGACAATGCAGCTCTAATTAAAAACCAAAATGAAAATAGTTGGTAGAAGAAAATAATAACTTCTCTAGGGCTGAAACAATGACTGATTCCCCTCTGAATGGATGTTGGATACTGTTATATCAGCTCACACAACCAAAGAAGGTCATCGCTAAAAGTGGAGAATATTCACAGAATGAGGTATCCATGCATAGAACTTGAAAGTTGAGTGGAAGGAAAAAAACACAGTAGTAAGATGTAACCAGGCAAATGGGATAACAGCAGCCATGATTACTGAAAAGCAAAGCCCATTCTGGAGTCACATGGTTGGAGTGGGTTTTTGCTGCTTTATAAAATAGATTTAAAGTTTGGGTTATCCCTATTTGTTTAACCTCTGGTTCCCATTTTAAATATCCACCAGCTCGGACCAACATATACAAACACTTCTTTGTTCCCTCTACTGTTCAGCTGCTTAACTCTACTAGGAAAAGCAGATGGTCATATGTTGCATGCATATAGGCCTAAGCTTTTATTCATCTCCTGCACTGCACATATTAACTTATCCACCCTACTGTTATCTTTTTAAAATATTTTTTTGTATTTCTTGTGCTTTTGTTAGTGAAATGTGTACTACTACTGCACATAAATTCCCACTCCCATTCCATACTGGCACAAATAAAAGCTACTGAACTGAATAGGGTTTAAATTAAGCCTATCTGGTGCCCAGACTGCAAAGGAGACAGCTATGTTTCATTTTGTCTTTAAAGACTGTCCGCTGACAACACGAAGGGAAAATATTTAAAGCAAATTATGTTAAAACATCCTATTGCAGAGAAGTGTCACTGAGAATTTCTCATATTTCCTTTAAAGGGTGTGGGAGAAAACCAGAACATTTTGAAAACCAATGTCCTGAAGAAAGACTTCCATCTTTGTCAAGAGCACTTTTAACCCTAAAAACACCAGGTGACATTTCTCAAACACACCCAGCTCAGCTTACGGTTCAGACACACCTGCAATGAATGACCAAGAATGCATGAAATTTAAAGATCATAACATTTAAATCAGATTGTATTGGCATGCATGGGTGACAAATAATGATGCAAATATCTGGAAGGCATTCACTGATATGATCAACTGACTGAACAAGCACTTGTTTTCACAAGCACTGTCTCATTTGTCACCATGGGGACAGGCACAGTTAGCATAGCTAACATGTAATGAACTATCAGGGGATGGAGGTGAATGGTTTCATCCTAGACAATACTGAAGGTCACAATCCAGGGAAGATATTCTTACAGCAGGCCTTTTGTGTCCTTCCTTCCTTAAGGAAAAAAAGAACAAAATAAGGATAACAAAACAAACAAACACTTTAAGGTAAAAAAAAATTGAATAAGAAAATCGACAAAGTAAGAAAGGAAGGACATAGGAAAGGATGGAGCATAGGAAGGAAGGAAATAAGGACCAATAAAAATAATTAAGAAATTATTTTAACAACAGGAAAACATATCATTACTTTCCATACTCTTCTTTGCCCTTGTTTATCTAGACATGGGAAATGTTTAAATAAAGCTCCAGGCTTTTCCAGGCGGTGTAGGAGCCATTTCCTCAAATCAAACAGCACCACCCATTCACCTGAATAATGTAGTGAAAGTCTAGAAGTCCCACAGAGAAACCAGAGATCACACACTTTCAATGGATATCATCTCGCCTAGAAATGAAAGCAAATCTAGCTTTAAATGCAGCTCTAATTCAACAGCTCAAATGTATATGAAAGTTTTGTGCTATGGGTGGATCATTTAAAATCTAAAATAGATCAATTATTAAACATCATGGAGACTTTGAGGTGATGAACTGCTCAATCGCTTGTTTATTCAAACCCCTTTTTGAAACAAATGGCAAGCAGACCAACAGCCAATAAGAGGCAACAACCAGTTCAGATATGACTTATCACTTCCTGTCAGGAGTTTCACTCTGAACAAACAAAACAAACTGCCACTTCTAACTGAACTTTAAATTGTAGTTGACTAAACAGGTCTTATGCTCAACCAGGCACAATTTCTGCAAATCAAGTGACTGCATGATTTAACCCAGTTTAAGGAAGGAATGCCCAGCAGTTTGACCACATTCAACAAAAATGTACCATCAGAAACCATAGTGTCACATAACTAGAGGATTTTAAATTCGAACTTGTTTCCTTGTTGATGCAGTCCTGTTTGATAATAATGAAATAACCCCAGCCTTACATTGCAATTGCAATGCACTTTTCAGCAAATATTGTGTTTTATATAAAACTATGTGGATGTAATAATCCTATGCTTGTGCAGAGCTTTTAACTTTAATCTTAGATTTACATAAATTGCATGGAATATGTTTACTTCATTGTTTTAAAATCATTATACCAACCATGATTGTTGTTTATCAAACATGTAGTTATGTTTCATATTTGTAGATATGTGATATTTTTGACAAGTTCTGAGAATTTTGACTGAAAACATCAGATTCACCTGTGTTCCTGTCAAAATTCTTGTTGTTGATGACGATGCACTGGCCAATGCTGGGGAAGTTCATGCTGTATCTGAAGCTGTGGGAGTGAGGCTTAGCATCAACCTCCATGGGAGCAGCGGCAGACAAAGACCCCGCTGACCTGCAGGAACACAAAACAAACCACAACACATGCTTACTAACGGAAACCAACATATAGTGCTGCAAAGAGGGTTGGGAGATAATAGTTTCTTCCATTACTTCAGCGGGACAATGAAACAATAACCTGCGGAGGATAAAGGTCAGTGTCTATAAACCCTCGCTTACTGTTTTCCATTGTCTTGCTTCGCGTCTGTTGTGTCCCCGCCAGCATCGGATCTATCAGCAGACATACTTCCTTCACGAGAATAAAACAGCGCAGAGCCGAATATGGAAATAACAGAGTACTGAACGGGTGAACCAGCTGCTAAACAGTAGCTTGGCGTAGACGTGTTTCAACAGGGAGGGTTAATTAGCATCTAGCCGCTCCCACACGTCTAGTAAACAAAGATGTGACGTTACGCCTAGATGCGTTCGTTTTGTTCATGCGGACATCCCGTCATAACAGAAATGCATTTGCAAGTGTGGAGGACCCATCCTGCCATAATTAAAAATAGAGAAATAAATAAATGCTCGAAAAATAAATAAGCATACAATTAATTCCCCTCTAAAAATACAATAAATAAATGTAGAAAGAAATGAAATTATACAGTGAGACTTAAATGTATATATCTCTTTTAATTAGCTTCTATGTTAACATGCACTTAAATAAATACTTAAAAAAAAAGTTATAAATAAAGTTTAAGATTATAACGGACAATAAATAAATAAGGTAATTTTAGGGGGGGATTAATTGTATGCTTATTTATTTATTTCTGTATTTGTTTTTAAGTATGGCAGAGTTGGTCCTCCATATGAATGGTCCTAAATACTAAAATAAGATACTGTAAATATAATTAGGAAGAAAGGAAGCTCAATTTTTACCTTAAAAAATATAAACCAAAGATAAAGACATAATGGTGGTTCTAGATCACATTTACCAAGATGGCCAAGGTGGGGATGAAATGTATTATTTATTGACCCAGCGTTGAAAATGTAGTCTAATCCATTTGTCACATATAAAAAGATCAATGTACTGCTTTACTTTAAATGAAAACTAAGAACATTCAACAATATACTATAAAAAGGCTTCTGTAAAATACAGTTGGGAAAATCCCTGCACTTCCCTTGCAGGTAATCAGGCACTTAATTTTATGGTGCATACTTCATTTTAAAACGGTTTTAGGCCTTTCTCAGCGATTCATACCATTGCAAGGTTAGTCAAGTTTAGACTGATTTGTTCCTCTGTAACAATATCAAGAAAAAAATGTATTCAGTTTTTAGAATCTCCCAAAACAAACGGTTTATTTTTCCTAAAAAATTTAATTATTGTATTTTGTTCTTTTTTTGTTAAAACTTGGAAAAGTTAAAAATTGTTTATTCTCTCTTGCCAAATAGAAGTTTTCTCAGGTCTGCTCTCTTGAGGTCCCATCACAGCTAATAATTGTGATTGCTGCATCAAGAATGGTCAACACGGGATCATTCAGAGATCCTCACTGAACTTCTGGAGAGTTTGCTGCACTGAAAGTAAAGGGGCCAATTAATTTTTCATGGCCCACTCTTCAGTCTTAAAAACATGTTAATTGTCCAATAAATTCTGTTCCAATTCAAGATGGTGTCCCAATTTAATATCTTTATGTTCGAAGCCTGAAATGTGACATCCATACATTTCTGTCACTCTTATACCTGCTGGGGTCTGTAGGGGTGCTGGTGCCCATCTCCAGCTGTCTACAGGCGAGAGGTGGGGTACACCCTGGACCGGTCACCAGTCCATCGCAGGGCAACACAGAGACATGAAAGTCAAACAACCATTCAGGTACATACTCACATCTAAGGAGAACTTAGAGAAGCCAAATAACCTAGCAGTCATGTTTTTGGACTGTGGGAGGAAGCTGGAGTACCTGGAGAGAACCCAAAGATGCACAGGGAGAACATGCAAACTCCATACAGAAAGACCCTGGGCAAGGAATCACACCTTCTTGCTGAAAAAAGGGGGTTCAATCAAAAGAATTTAAACAAGCTGCTCTCACAGAACATTGCAAAAATCAGCAAAGGGGGATTAAGTTATTTGTGTAAGGTCACATCAAACTTTTGACAGGATGACTCTGCAAAACTAGCCACATCAGTATCTATATATTACATCAGTATCTGTATTCTGAAATGTCTGTAAGTCTATGCCTCTTTTACATTTTACACTACATTTTCATTTATGGTCCCAACCGCTGTTAATGAGAGGCCAGAGTTTTACTTTGGCTGCATGGGTCAGATGAGCACAGGGCTTCACCACCAGCCAGTTCCTGTCCACTGCTATCCAGCTAGCTTTTACACTTGAAAAGTAAATCTATTTTATTTATTTATTTTTTAAACAATGTTATATTGTGAGCATCTTAAACCACACCTTCTGCTTTAAACCATGTTTCTTTTTACATTTACATTTAGAAAAGGCCCAAATGGGAAAATTCTAGTTTACAATAACTGAACAAGAACGAGGAATTTTTAAAGAGAAGCTGTCCAAATGACAACAGTTTAAGAGCCAAGGTGGAATTAAAAACAGCCATTTATTAGTGATATTACACCTGGGAACACTCATATAGTTATAAAGTGCAAGAACAGCTATAGCTGTCTTTCAATGAGTGACACTCTACACAGTGCAGTGTTTTAGAAATCACACATGGAAATACAGTAAATAGGATAAAAATTTAGTTAAAATAATATACTGCCTAAAACAACAGAGAAACAAAACCAAAAGAACAATGAAAATGGATACAGGAATAGAATATGACCATTTAAAAACCTCTAAATATTATTTGGAAAGACATAAATAGTGAGGGTGAGGATACAAAATGAAATCTGTGGCGTAATTCTATAAAGAACGCAAAATAAAAAGTCCTTGGAGCTAGTAAAGAAATCTTGTACTGTAACATATATTTAAATTTTAAAAAATGGCTGAAGTACTTGGAACTGCTTCTCTGCTTTAGGATTCCCTGACTGCAACCATAAGGAACCATTTCATCCATGTTCATGACATTGTTTACATCACGTTTGTTTTTGAAAGATTATCTTAAGTACACTTTAATAAAGATTATTAACATTGCACTTTTCTTGTGTATCAGCCACATTGTATCTCAGCTCAAATTTTAAAACAAAAAATATGACTATTCTGTGGCTTCAGTGTCTTAAAGACTTTTTATTTCATCTTGTGGGTATGCCTGAACAGTGGCATTCTTATTGCTTTAAGCAGAAATGCAACATTTGCAGCACATGTCAAACACTAAAATTTCCCTACATAAAATTAAAGTTTAGTACGTTTTAAGGATATGATAAAGATAAAAAAAAAAAATGTTTCCTTCTAAAACTCAAATACCCTGTCCATTTTTTATATTTTAGAATTATATGAAATGGTATAACTGATGCTAGTGGAGGAGAAAAAAAAAAAAAAAAAAAAAAGAGTCTTCTTAAAATTATTGGAATAAGATATATTACCATGACCTTGTATTAATTTAATCCGTTTTAAAGAGATCAAAAGTCTGGAAAGTAAAATAAAAAATAAAGGCTATAAAGAGTTTAAAAATGTAGAAAAAAGGTTCACCTCAGGTAAAAAGACACTAAAGTAACACACAGCACAAAGGTCTAAATATTTACCAGCTTTGGTATGATAAAAATATGTGGTGTTGGTTTAAAGATTTAGTCCAGAAAATAGAAATCTAAATAAGATCCACCTTAAAAAGAACAAAAAAAAAAAAATCAATAAAAGGGAATTAATACTCTGAGCTAAAAAATTTCAAATACATATAGCGCTTGGAAAAGTATTAACATGTTAACAATTTTCCGTATGCTGTCACATTTCAACTACAGTTTAATTCATTTTAACATGAAGCGTTATAGACAGATACAAAGACCTATGATTGTAAAGACAGAGAAAAGGATGCAGGGTACATTTGTGGCACCTTTGTATTTAGACACCTTTAATCTGATACCTTCAAATCAAATTCAGGTCAACAAATTGCCTTCAGAAGTTGCCTAATTAATGCATTCAATCTTTATATAATTTAACTAAGGATAAATCCAGCTATAGACCCCAGAGCTTAATTAGAAAACTTAAGTAAATAAAGAGCAACATGAAGATCCAGTAGCACAGCAGTTAGTCAGGGCAATGTTAGGTAGAAGTATAAATCAGAGTTGGATTATAAAATACGCCAAGTTTGGAGTATCTGTCAGAGATTTGTTTAATTCATAGATGTGTACAGCACAACTGCAAACTTCACCGATATGAAGACTGTATCCAATATTGCTTCTGTTCTTCATTTAAAACACGTCACAAACCCGTACTGTCCCACTATCAATCACCACACATGCTCAATCAGATACCAGCCACCAACACTTTCCTGAAAGCAACTAACGGCAACAAGATGGAAAAAAACAGCAATTGTTAATAGTAAACCAGTTTGGCTTATAATATCAATATATGTACATTAAAATGGCTAAGATCTGCTAATATCAATGTTAAATCAGATTTACTGTGCATCCCTTATTAAAAAAAGAAGATATTCAGAAAGTATTAAATTAACCTGACTGAGCAAGCGCTATTTTGCAAATAATGGGCAAAAAAAAAATCAGTCTAGACTCACAAATCTGGAATATCCACACACTAAAGACGTTCAGTCATACCAAACTCGGTATAAAGCAGGTATCAATACATTTACATCCCAAATGTTTCCCATCTTTACAGCTAACAAAAACTGAAACTCCATTTACCATTTTGTTCCACTTCATAATCTTTGTTTACTTTGTTTTGGTCAATCGGATTAAACTAATAAAATTTATTTGGTTTTTGGTTATAATTGAACAAAATGGGGGGAGTTTAAGAGAAGGTGCACTGGAAAAATTATCTAGAAATAAGTAAACATTTCTTAAATTAAGTGTATTTAACCTTAATTTGAGTAGGTAAATGAGATGATTTGCCAATGGAATGAGGATTTTTACATGAAAAGACAATGCAGTTGTTTTTTCTTATTTTAAATGTAAATTGTCTTGTTCCATTGGCAAAGTGTCTCTTTTACCTCCTCAATCCAAGAACAAATGCACTTATTTTAAGATAAAATGACTGATTTCGATATTCTCCAGTGCGGATTAATACTTTTGTAAGGCACTGTGTAAAAGATAATATGAAGAGGATAAAACAAAGTATCATTGCAGGATGAGTGAGAATGTGATCTGAACAAGCCTTCATTTAAACACCGAAGTCTGACTTTCAGGACAGAGGAAGTAGTTTTATGAAACATGAAAGAAAACCCAATATGGCTGCCTAATGCATAAGAAATCTCGGCTGTTGCAATCATAAACTTGTAGTTTACTTCTTTTTCAATTTATTCCACCTTGTTTCAGAATGCCATATTTCAAAGAGAAAAATACATACAGTATTTTCTGTGTTCTCATGTCCTTGTGTTGATGATGATGATTTCTACCAGTTGCAAAGTACACCAAACATACCTTACGGGTTTTCTCATTCGCACCTGGAAGGTTGTTGAGTTAGGGGTGACATCATTCCCAGATTTTACTTATGAGGCTAAAGGAATGCAACGCAACCAGCAGCAAAACAATTACAATGCCATATGAGCAAGAACCTGCTCTGAGAAAGAAGTCCATAACACTGTGATCCTGAGGCTACAGATATCAGAAAGCTGTAATCAGAAGATGTCAGGGCACAATTCCCAGTCTCCTTGTTCCTTTGCTTCCCAGTAACCTCCCTTGTACACGTGCAAGGTCTCTCCAGACACCGGGTCATGAATCTTCTCGAACCACAGTGCTTGGTAGTTATCTGGATGGACACCTGAGCAAAAGGAAAAGACAATAATTTACATCAAAAGCACTGCAAGTATGCTCTATATTTTCTTTATCAGGGTTGTTCTTTATAAAAAAAAGAGAAGGAAAATGAATAAGAATGCAGTGCAAACCTTGTTTCTATTTAACATAAAGCAGAGCAATCCCAAACTTCTGATACATAGCTGTTAGAATAAGTTATAAATATTAATCTTTCGATCAAATTCTAGGTCCCTTTATAGCCAATTTATTTATGACATCTAAGAGACATGTTACAATGGACAACAAGGGACATGTTACTTGCTTTTAGCAGGGGCTCCACAAAATCCTTCCTTGACTTCCACTGAGAGAGAGCAATTAATAAAAAAAGAGGATATTCAGTTTATTGCTAAAGCGGGGTTCTTCTAATCTAGAGTGTACTACTAGCCTAGAGGTGTTGTTACATTTTCACTAGATATAGGGCTAATTGGATCCAATGTCTGTATTGGAACTGATACTGACATAATCATCAGATTAAAAATAGAGCTGAACAAACTGGTCCAGACTCCATGGTCCTGTCATGTCAGATATTTGGTCATTTTATTCTGTATGTTTAAGCTTGCAGCCCAAAAATGTTTCCTACTTAGATGATGAAATATACGTATTAAATACTTGATACATACAGGTGGAGGTTGTTTAAGATATCTGCAGTCACTAGAGGGTCTGCTGGCTACACATTGCAAACTCTGCTGCTGGACATCGCCTTCTGAGATATTAGGATGAAAGACCGTATCTAAATATAAAACTATTGTACCATGTCCCCTCAGCTGTATTTTTTCCCTGCTCTTTCTGCCCATTCTTAAACTTTTTTTTTTTTTTTTTTGGTAAGAAAAGCAAAGTTTGAAAATCAGGACTTAAATAAATAAAAAAAAATTTGGATATATGTGAAGAATAGGGCGAGTTTTAGAAACAGAAGTTGCATATGCCGGCATTCTGTGTTAGGAAAGACAAGGCCGTTTTATCCCCCACAGCTTCTGTCACAGGTGCTGACAAAGGTGTTAATATTGGGTGAATATTCAACTTAAGTTCAAAGATCTATTAGTACTTATGTAAAGGTAAAACAAAGTATTTTCCTATAGTTTAGGTTATATTGCAGAGTTTTCTATGGTGCCCAAATTTGGCTTGTGCAAAAACACAACACAAAAATGCATCAGTCTGGTGATAAAATCGGTGCCAAGAACTTAAGGCGTTGCTGAGTTTTTTTTCGCCTCACTAACTGAAGCAGAACGGCAGAATTAAATTACACAATTACCAAGTAGCTTTGTGATAAATAAATAGGCTTTCAACCTATTTTACAAACATTTTACACCCAAATTAACGTTAAAATGTAATAGTGAAGCTGTTTTGGAGTCTATACCCCTCCAGCCCAGACAATGCCATAACATAAAAGATGGTTCATCTTTAACTAATACTAAGTAATTTTTTAACGTTCATAAATTATTTTTTATAAGTTTTATGATTATACGTTGAATTACAACTGTCATGGCCAGAGGGGGTCTTAATGACCTTCAACGGCACTAAGCAACTTTTAGGATGTTGGCAGTAACCTTGCTACTGAGAAGCTATATATTGGTGAAAATTGTGCAGGGTTGATATTCAGGAAATGCAGCACCTTCCTGGTGGGATCTATAAGTGTGTTTACTGTTAAATGATCAAACATAGCTTATAATCATCTGTTTCAGGGCTCTAAACTCGTCACCACATCAGTCGCTGATGAGTCAGGTGAGGTCAGGGGTAGTAGCGGTGCAGGAATACGGTAGAAAACCAAAGTTAAACTTATAACATAATTTCACCACAATTAGATTCATTACTTCATCGCTATTCTTCATTCACACAGCCACTGGAAACACAAATGTAGTTCAATCCGAACTGCAGGCAGCAGAGAATTTTACCACACTTTGTGCTACTACTGTGCTACTTGTGGGAAATGCTGTTTTCCTTCAGGCAAAACAATACACTTTTTGTCCACAGGGGTGAGACAAAATCGACCAAAACAGATTTTGTTAGCTTTAAGGTGTTCTGGATCAGAAAATATTAACATCAGCAGATATGTAGAAAATTGAGATATCAGAATTGGATCGAAACCCTATACTAAAGAATAAATAATGGCTCAATCTATCCCTAAGTTTCACTACAGGATATTATACTTGCTTGGGTAAGGGGGGACTGATGGTCCATAAGGGGCGAAGGAAAAAAAAAAAAAAAAACAGAATAAAATGGGTGAAATTTGAAAGCTTAACATGATATCTGGATTTTTGGTTAATTCTGAGAACATGGGGTGAAAATGTAAGAGGAACTTGCATGCAACCGGTGTAAGAGGAGGAGAGTCCTCTGCATCAGCTGAGCAAACCCACCCACAAACAGAAAAGGATCAGTTCACAAGAAAAGCCCAATCCACACCATGTTGCACAGGGTTTAAAGAGTGCTGTGTTGCAGAATTAATAAAGTTTGGCTCATTTATAGAACATATATATATATGTAAAGTGGGTACAGAAAGTATTCAAACCCCTTTAAATATTTCTCTCTTTGTTTCATTGCAGTCATTTACTAAAATCAAGTTCATTTTATGTCTCATTAATGTACACTCAGCAACCCATCTTGACAGAAAAAAAATAAAAATGTAGAATCTTTGAAAATTTATCAGTAAAGAAAAACTGAAATATCACATTATCATAGGTATTCAGACCCTTTGCTCAGTATTAAGTAGAAGCACCCTGTTGAGCTAGTACATCCATGAGTCCTATTGGGTATGATGCAACAAGCTTTTCACACCAGGATTTGCGGATCTTCTGCCATTCTTCCTTGCAGATCCTCACCAGTTCTGTCAGGTTAGATGGTGCATGTTGGTGGACGGACATTTTCAGGTCTCTCCAGAGATGCTCCATTGGGTTTAGGTCAGGGCTCTGGCTGGGCCAGTTAAGAATGGTCACAGAGTTGTTCCCAAGCCACCAATTTGTTATTTTACCCGTGGGCTGAGGTTCATTGTCTTGTTGGAAGGTGAACCTTCGGCCCAGTCTGAGGTCTTGAGCACTCTGGAAGAGGTTTTCTTCCAGGATATCTCTGTACTTGGCTGCGTTCATCTTTCCTTAAATTGCAACCAGTCGTCCTGTTCCTACAGCTGGAAAAACACCCCCATAGCATATGCTGCCACCACCATGTTTCACTGTTGGGATTGTATTGGGCAGGTGATGAGCAGCGCCTGGTTTTTTTCCACACATACCGCTTAAAGTTAACGCCAAAAAGTTCAGCTTGGTCTAAGCAGACCAGAGAATCTTCTTTCTCAAAGTCTAGGAGTCTTTCACGTGTTTTCCAGCAAACTCTATGCAGGCTTTCATATGTCTTGAACTGGGAAGAGGCTTCTGTCGGGCCACTATGCCATAAAGTCCTGACTGGTGGAGGGCTGCAATGACAGTTGAGGAACTTTCTCCCATCTCCCTACTGCATCTCTGAAGCTCAGTCACAGTGATCATTGGGTTCTTCTTTATCTCTCTCACCAAGGCTCTTCAACCATGATTGCTCAGTTTGGCTGGAAGGCCAGGTGTAGGAAGAGTTCTGGAAGAGCTCTCAGTTCGTCACACGCTTCTTCCGTTTAAGGATTATGGAGGCCACTGTACTCTCAAGAACCTTGAGTGCTTCAGAAATTATTTTATAACCTTGGCCAGATCTGTGCCTAGCCACAATTCTGTCTCTAAGCTCCTTGGACAGTTCCTTCAACCTCATGATTCTCATTTGCTCTGACGTGTACTGTGAGTGTGAAGGTCTTATTTAGACAGGTTTGTGCCTTTCCTGATCAAGTCCAATTGGTTAAATTAAACACAGCTGGACTCCAGTGAAGGAGCAGAACCATCTCAAGGAGGATCGGAAGAATTGGACAGCATGTGAGTTAAATATGAGAATCACAGCAAAGGGTCTGAATAACAATGTAATAAAATGTTTAGTCAATAATAATTGACTAAAGAGTTCTTTCAAAGCTTTTTATACTTCTTTGCAGCAAATCTGTCCACATCTGCTTTAGCATTAGGTTGTAAATTAGAGCAATAAGGATTAAAATCTGCATGTCTGTTGCGGCTAAATACGAACTATTTTCTCATTTAAGTACAAATGCAACACATAGCACTTTTAAAAGCATTTTTTTCTAAGGTGAACTACACATTAATACTTGCTTTCATCAGAAACCTCACTTGTGGTGCTGGTGTCATGTGCATGAGCTAAATGGAACAAACATGGAGGAGTTAAAACACAAATAAGGATGTTAAACAGCACATGTTAAATGAGCTGTGTGGTCACAAACATAATTGGTTTTAGGGATGAACATTTAAGGTGAAAGAAAGAGGGATGGACATAATACAGTTTTCTAGATGTCCCTTACCTTCTTCAGGTGTGGTGGCTGCTTTAGCAGCATCTCTTTCCCTTTCACGTCGAGTAGAGCGCTGTTTTTCTTCCAGCCTTTGTTTCTCAGCGTTAGCTTCATCCCAGTGGCCTTCTTCCATCAACCTCTGGTCCGGACGTCGCCGGCTGTCTGTTGGAGCCACCCCCTCCTCAGGTTCATTAAGTGTCAACGCCAGGGAGGAGAAAAAGTACATGTTTTCTGCTCCCTCACTGCAAAGACATAATCAGAAAGCGTTCATGGCAAAAACTGACATCTGAAGGAGTGGCATTTTGATAATTCTCTAAATATATTGGAAGTATATGAATAAATAAAAAGTACGGTAAAGGGTTCTTTCTCCAGATTTCTTTTGGTTTGAGGGTTTGGTAAACGGTCCTCTGTTTGCCTTCGGTGCCATTCTCGCCTTTACTGCTTTGCATTATCCTAGAAAACTCCATCTTCTCATCCCATGTTCCTGACAGCACGTAATGAGCCTTCCCATCCTTATCTGTCACAACTCCAGTCACCTGTAAAGAAAAAAAGATACAAAAAATCCACAAATTTTAGATACTGCAACAATGGAAAGTTTTATTTCATTCCATTGTTATTGTGTTTTCATTTATTGCCTTTGAAACTGTTGCTTTTTTTTCCTTTTCTTCCTTTCCCATTTTCTCCCTTTGTAGGGAAAGGACCACATACTGCACTCATACAGTACATGGCAGAAAGGCCCAATCCAAAACCGCCACCTAAGCATTAACCCTTAACTATTGAGTGTCGCCTTGATTTAAGATGGGGGGGTATAAAGGAGAATGGGTATCTTCCTTCCAACGGAAAAGGAAAGCAGCCTTAGCCATAGCGACACAGTGACGCCATGTATCAGTTTGTAGCTCTGTGCTGCAGGTTGACATGCAATCAAACATTTGCCCCTTTCTGTATACAGTAAATCAAAACTATTAGAAAGAGGACCTTCCCTCTTGGAATTAATGAAGTGTCTATTTTCTTTTTCCTAACTTTTTTCTGATTTTCTGTCAGCGTGACACAGATGCAGAACTTACATTAGAATGCATGCGTTTCCTTTGCTATTAGGTGGCGTTGAACCTGCTGCCAAATTCCAGTGACCTACACCGATGCAGACCCGCTATTTTAGCGCTGAACGGTCCCCTCACCCTACCCACTACTTGGTTTGGGATGGCTTTTAAAGTGGCGGATCCTCTGCGGGGACTCCAAATGGAGGATTAGTGCTCAAGGGCTAGTTTGGGATTGGGCCATAGTGTAAACACTGTTAAACTGCATTCAGAACAGATGTTGGACTAACTGGTCTAGCTGTCCATTTTGTTAAGATCTCACAGTTTTAATATAATGAAATTAAGTTTTTAAGATAGATTGAAATGTATTATTCCCCAAGCTTAGAAAAGAAGGGATGGGTTTGATAACATGAAAAGGAATCAAAGGACATTTTTAAACAATGGCTCACCTTCCTTGGAACATCTCTAGAGAAGTAGCTATAGGGAGCAAACTTGAGGTGACAGCGATCTCCTGTAGTGTGGTTCACCACATCTATCTCCCCTGACTGCGGAAAGAAATACAAAAACAAATATTTTGATAATAAGAACAAAAGTGATTTACAATAGATATTGAACATAATCTTTTACGAATATGACATTGTTACCTGATCTATCCATAATTTGCCAACTATAATGTTGTGTACGGTCGTAGTAACTTTTTTCCAAGAGTAGTGGTTGTTGCTCTTATCAAATATACACTGGATAGAACCTGGTGACAGACAGGGCCATGGAGATAAGAACAGAGGTTTATTCTACTCTAAAAGAAACTGATGCCAAGTCATCTCCATGCTGGTTAGAAGTTCACTTATGAAATGTGGAATGGCTCACCAACCGCTTGTCCAAAGGCCGTAAAACGGGCTGATAGTTCCTATGAATTTTATATTAGTTGACATTTTTCCAGACTGAATATTTCTTGGTCAATTTGTATTGTGGATAAACAATAATTTCTAATTTTTATATCCTTTGAACTTTTACACATTTCTGTCATTTAACAACCAAAAACATTTATGTATTTTATCAGCATTTCATATGAGAGACCAACATAAAATAAATGATTAATGCAAAGTAAAATCAAATTATACATTCCTATTTAAATATTCATCTTTTTTTTTTTAATCTATAAGTTTAAGGGCCATTTCAAGTCTAACGACTAACTCTGAAAATAGAGCCTCAGTGGAAGATTCATTATATGAAAGCCATTATTAAAAGGCAGCTTCAGTTCAAGTTCAAATTTCAACAACTGGCTGCTGCAACAGCTTCTTTTATGTTTTTGCATAACATCTGGAGTTATCTGAATGGTTCTAAACTGTTTCTGCTGACTGACTATGTACATGGTGTTAATTAGTCTTGCTGGCAAGTGTATTTTAAAGGGACCCTTCCTAATGTGGCTTAATGCAATAACATACATTGAATTTAATCTCATTAAGTGACAGATATAATGATGTTTATAATTATGATGGGGTATATTTTACAGCACAGCAACTATTTCCTGGAGCTTTTAAATATATCATCCAATAATATAATGTATATAATCTGTAAATCTTATCTGCAATTATTTATCTTGTATTATAAACCTGCTAATACATATATAATCCTTTTCCTAACATTCCTGTATATTCTGTATAATCTGTGCATGTAGTTCCCATATTCATATTTATATCTATACACAACTGTTCACAGTCCCAAACTATTACTTTTTGGTTGTACATACACCTGTTATAATATGTATATCCTGTATAGCACTTCTGGATAGATGCAAACCACATTTCGTTGCTTTGTACTCGTGACAGTGCAATGACAATAAAGTTAAATTCTATTCCATTCATTCTATTATATACAGGGTATACGAGGACATAAATCATTTTTTCATTAATGTAGTTTTCAGGCATGAAAAAACACTAAAAGCAAATTCCGTATTGTTCCAAGTCTGCAGGAACTAACCTTTTCATTGCATCCTATGATCGTTATTGTTAGCTACAATTTTACAAACACAAATTCAAACTTACCCAAAGGCATGATTGAAAGATATTTTCCTCTGAATTTGCTTGCCAGCGTTATCTCCTGTCTAAGGGTCCAGCCCTTTTCAGAGAAGGCATGGTGAGCTGCAGCTGGAGGGTGGTGACTGACCTAAGGAGTTAGTATGCAGAGTAAAGACGGCTGGTTCGCAACATTGTTTGAAAAATGAATGCAGTGCTTCCATCAGACATCTGTGCATCACTTGTAAACTGACACTGAACATCAACAGCGTAATCATGCAAACTTTTTGTTAAATGCACCTGTTCGCAAAGTGAGCGATAACCAGACTCTTTGATCCGATCAAGCTCAAAGGTTTCCCCCAATAAGGGATTGAAAGGCTTTCCTGTGCGGTGGACTGTGGTGGAGTAGGAAGAGACGGTAAAGGCTGCCACATAACACATCTGCTCTAAGGAGTTATGACACTTTGCAGCTTTATCCAAGAGCTCGTGGTATTCAAGATCTTCAGAAAGACGCTGAAGCATCGACAGTGGCTCATTGAAATTTACCTTGGGAAAAAAAAAACAGAGGTAAAAGGACAATTACTTAGTACTGTTATTACAACAAAAAAGAAAGAAAAACCCAGGTGTCAGTAAGTTGACTCGTTCTTACAGGCATTGGTATCTTTGAGAGCTCTTTTCCAATGCAATTCTTCATGATGCTCCACAAATTAAGGTAGTAATTGGGTTTGTCAGGAATACGAGTCCTTCTTTGCCTGACTGGCTCCAGCTCAACTGGAGGCAAAGACTCTGAATTGGATGCCAAGGAGAGTTCATCAAACTGAGAGAAGGAGAAATATTTTAAATGTTAGTCTAAATCTAGCCCGTCGAATCAGAGCTGATCAAATAATAAAAGTCGGCATGTTTACCGACTGATCGTCCATTCCCATTTCACTGCTTAGCCCACTGACATTACTGCCAGATCTCCTGGAAAACACAGAAGATAAAACATCCACCATCATCAGAGAACCTGCCTCAGAAAAATAGAAAAAAGAAATGGGTAATACCTATGGTACTTGGGGTCAGCAGGAACAGTGATGAATCCTGTCGGGTCTTCCATTGCATCAAAGAACTCATTGTCATCGTCCTCGTCACTGGCATCGCCTTTTACTGAGACACCACCTTAAATGATATAGCACGATAAACTTAGAAAAACAAACCCTGAATCGGTGGACATTTAAGCAGGTCTACGAAGGGACAGTGGGGGTATAAGGATTCCAAATGTTTGATATTTTACAATTTTCATAAATTTTTCCAACATTTTGAAAACAATAATGAAAATTGGAGTACATCACAGTTAGCTAGTTGGGCTTGATTATCTGTTTGAAAAAAAAAAACAGTTCTGTTAGCCTGGTTATTCCACTGCTTCTTTGGTGTTTGGGTCCAGGTAACCGTCATTTATTTCAACATTAAATTCAGATTCTTTACAACTCAATTCCTGACTCATGGTGCTTTTCTTTTTATTGTTAACACACTTCTCCACCTCTCTTAAATGGGATCCCCTCCTTTATTCAGAACTCTTTTATTTCTTCATGGCACACCTCCAACACGAAGGCAGTGACATATTTTAGAGAGCCTCTTCCATCTTGGCAGGGTAGCATCTCACAGTGGATGAACGTTTGTCTTCTAATCATGCATGAGGCAAAGTTCCTATTACCACATTGGGCTCAGGTGGTTGAACAGAGACTTAGTGGCATAAAACAGTGGCAGCTTAAATCCAATCAAATAACACTACATTTTTGGAATCGCTCACAGTTTTAGTGAACCTTTGCAGGTATAAATGGCAAAACAATGTGATCTTCTGCAGCTGGTCTTCAGCTCCAAGATTTGAACTTCAGCATAGTGTTAATAGGTGGTGTGTGGAGCTACTGCTGCTGGCTTTCCAGGATATCAAACCAGTTTATTTAATCTCTCCTGACTTTTAAGTACTCCTTAGACATGGCTGGGCTTGGAAATCTCCTTGAACCGGAGTACCTAATATAATGGCAGCTGATTTTACCCATTCATAACTTTTTAAATTTGGTCCTTGTTCACTTAACCGTTTTTTGGTGTAAAATGGAGCCATTAGATGTTTCATACCAACTATTGATCTAGTAGTATCTAGAGGTATGCTATGTACTCACTTCTGAGTTGCTTTAAAATGATGTATCAATTAGTTGACAATCTGTAGAAAACATGTAATAGAGATGTTTGGTAGGTTGGAGCCTTCTCTGTAACCCTTTCTCTCTGTAATCCGTATTTGACCATATATACGTGAAATAAATTATTTGTTTCATAAGGAAAATGGAGATGAAAGGAAGGAAATCATCACACATGGCTATAAATTAGGGGCCAAAATGAAAGAGCCTTAAGTTCCAAAAATGTGTCTAGCATCAAATCCCGACTCGGATTAGAAAAAAATAGTTTTTGATTTTGAAATGTGTTTAAAACTTAGGGAAAATGATGGAATTTGATGTGAAAAATCAAATAAAAACCTGATATAATTTTGGAAAATAATTCTGTTTTTTTAGCTTGTAGGTAATGGAATAAAAAAAAATACTAAAATGATTGCATATCATTTTCTCTTTTTCTGCCCTTTAAAACTTGTACAGGAACCCTGCTATTAGCCTAAAAAGATAGACATGCAAAATGAGACCCTTACTTTTAATGTTTAAGTTGGGATTGCTTAAGGAAGATGGCAGAACTGTAGCCCCTCTGAAGGCCCTCTCCAAGTGGTTGTGCTGTTTGGCTAGTTGTTCCAGAGTCTCCTCCAGACGAATCCTTTGGTCCCTCTCAGTATGCAAGGCCTTCTGCCAGCGCTTACTGTTGCTCTGGGCTATGGAGAGGAAGTCTCTACAACTCTTAAGGATAAAAACACCAATATGTCAGTAAAAACACAGAGAAAAACAAAAACACACCTCAGTAGCAGTTTAAGTCACTCTTAACTCACTAAACCTTACATTTATCATGGCATTAGAGGTGATTCGGAAAAGTGTGGCCCTTTCTGTGACTTGTCTGATCTTTTCCCCCATGTCCGTTCCAACACGCAGACCCTCCAGCTCTGATAAAGACCTAATATGTTAAACAAGAAAAAGGCTATTAAATAAAGTATAAATGCCAAAATTAAAAGTATATCTCTTAGATATTTACCTTTGGAGAGCAGAGCCATGTTTAACAATTAGATCATTGCAGGTGGTAAGGTCCTCCACCTTGCTGCTCAGGGTGCGCAATGTAGACTGAACTTCTGATATATCAGAGCCACCGCCCTGTCCTGAAACAGGGACGACTACACAGAACTCATCACCAGAGTCATCTGTTTACAGAGACAAGAAGAACAATGCAGCGTCATCTCTATCGGTGAAAATAAAATGACCACATCCTCTTTAACCACCGTCCGAGTTCAGACTTTATCTCACCAGATTCCTCCTGCATGCTAACAGCTTTTGCCTTAGCAAGTTCCAGTGCAGTGATCCATCGCTGGCGCTCAATTTCAGAGTTGGCCTTCAGGTGGTAAGTCTGTGCCCCTCCATTAGAAATGACAAAATTGCACGAGTCCTCCACAGCAATGTTGGCAGTGGCCAAATTAATCGTGCCTCTGCAAGTGTGACCCATCTCCGCCTGAGATCTGGAAATAGAAGTAAAATAGAGTTTTAAAACACCCCTAACTTTCACAGCCAAAGGCATACGTTAGTTCTAAATAATGAATGTGTGTTAATTTAAAAAGCAGCAAAAATATTCACAAACATTAAGGAGGAATCATAAAGTCCAATTTCCACAAAAAAGACAATGTTGAATGGACTGAATTCATATTGCGCTCTTCTAGCGACACCAACCACATTCATCAAATTTCTCTCATAGAGGTAAACACAATCAAACACATAAACACAGATTGGTAAGAAACTTGGGTGCAAGTGCAAGACAGAAGTGCACTTTAACAATAAAGTCATTTTATTCTATTCTAACCACAACACGCTGTTGTGCTTCCAGTAAAATATCATTGTAATTTTCCTTGAAATATGATTGTAATTCAGTTAAATATATAATAATTGTAATTATTTGTTATCCATAAGAGCAACGTTCAAATCTGACAGCAATGTCAGCCCATATTTCAAACTTTTAAAAGAAAAAAAAAAAAACATTACAGCTAATTTTCTAGTTTTAGGTTTCCATGTAAACGTGAAGAGATTCTAAGCATGTTTGCATACTAAACAACCAAAGCATATTTTTTCTACATTTTACAGGCTTTAGGCATTATTTTACAAAAAAATATTGTAAAACCTACCTGTAGTAAGATAGCAATCCATTGCTGAGAACAAACCACCGTCTCTGATAACCTTTTATGTAGTTAGTCCATTTGAAGAGCCAACCCTCGTACGAGTCTTCAGGGGTTGGTGTAGTAGGAGTGGGAGGTTTGGGTTCCGACATCACAACGGCCTGTGATTTCACCAAACGAGTTTAAACCCTGGAGAGTGAAAGCACATATTGAAAATGTACAAATGATTGCAATATGCATCTTTATTCCATTTTTTGACAAATTTGATGTAACCATAAGCCAGTTAGATAAAATGCTTTAGAAATCTGATAGAGCAATAAAGCTCATAAACAAAATACTGTGAAAAGAAATTGAGCGTTCTACTTTACAGAGAAATTCAACAACTAAAAAAACTGTAAAAGATGCAAAATACAATTTTCTAACATGCATTCTATTAAACGATCCACAACAGTGTGTCTGTCCATCAGTCAAATGTGGCTTGCATTTGCAATCAGCCCCCCAAATCAACATTTTTTAGAACATCTCTGATGCAGTGCCAGCTGCTAGTCGTGCCTTTATGAACCATGCTTTGGTAGATAAGTAAATGCAGCAGACTTTTTCTACTTACAGATGATGAATCACACAGTGGTCTATGATATATTCAAAGCCTGAAATATTTTCCTTAGATCTAATCCTATTTTAACTTCTCCACAACTTTTATAATTGACACTTCTGGTCTGTTCCCTGGTTTTCATGACGGTGTTTGTTTGCAGATGTTCTCAAACAAATCATTTATTTTAATAAGCAAATGTTTGCTCTGGTGTTTTATTTAGAAGCAAAAAGGGCTGTGGACCCACTTATTTCAGATCTCTGCTTTAAAATAAACCGAGAAACACACTTTTAGGGCTGAAACAATTCATCGGATTAATTGTGATTAATCGATTATTGAAATAATTCTCAACTAATTTAGTAATCGATTAATCATTAACTGCATTATAGAGACTCTAAAATATGCCTTTAGTTGACAGAGCAACCCACTTAGAGCAGTAATTACACTAAGATTGTAAAAACATATTTAAACATTTTGCATTTAAAATTGTCCGTATGCTCTATCCAATACTCTTTAAGTGGAAAAAATCAATTTAATCAGGTTTAATTTCGTAAAAAGTCTTCTTTAAGGAACCTTTGGCTATCTAATCATTAATCGATTAATCGAAAAATATTAAATAAACAGATTAATCGCTTTGCAAAATAATCAGTTATTTTGCAAAGCGATTAATATATTTTTTAATATATTTTTTATACGCACAAATGTACACTCTGTGCAGTTCTTCCATTACCTTTTTACATTTTTTTTTTATCTTCATTCTATTATTGTAATGTATAATGTCTTGCTTTATAGCCTTAAATTTTATTTTTGTTTCATTAGTATTGGCAGTTACTAGGTGCATTTCAGAATAAGCAAAGTCACTGTACGTAACAAGTCCGTTAACAGGCAAGTTATAAACTGTCGAATGAAAACGAGGCCAGAACTTAATAGCTTTAATAGTCTTAAACCCGCAAACTAGTAAAATAACAAGCAACAAAAACAACAGCTAAGCTATTTCCATAGACGACATTCCAGGATCAAATTAACACGGTCTGGATCAAAAGAGGATAAGTTACACCGAGGAAATAATTGCCAGAGCTCTTCGCATCAAAGCTACTTAGAACTCTGGCTGTCTTTAAGCTCATAGCGAGCTAAACCGCAGGGAAAAAAACAAGTTTGAGCTTCGTTTGACGTGAAAGTTAGAGGTTCCAGCAACTCGGCGTTATTAAGCCAATGTTCCCATTTAATGAGCTCCATCATGTATATTACCTGTCGGGGAGCATCTTCAGTTAGAAGAGGCGTAGCTCTGGAGGCGTTAGCTTAGCTATTTGCTTAGCTACACGTTGTGCATCGAAATGCTGTTCGGCCAACCTCTCAGTCGTTCATATTGGTTCCGCTGAAAACTACCCCCAATAATATAACATGTATGAGAAATCTACAAAACAAAACCCCAGTCCAGTTAACTTATAACTATGATGGGCAGGATTCAAAAAACGTAAAATCAGGAAAATTTGAAAATTATTCAACATCTTTATTTCTAGTTGTATTCCAGTCATATATTTAAATAATAATAATTTTCTAATATATTGTTGATAACGTTGAAAAAACTACCACATGGTCCTCAAAATGTAAGAACTTGAAAAAACATATTTTTATGGATTTAGTTATGTCATCACGCATGGATACTCTTACATGTATAAATTGTAAATGTTTTTTGTCTGCTGAGCATCTTATTCTCAGGGCAAAGTAAGAGTTAAATTGTATTATTGGTGTAAAATGTGATTACTGTAGCATGTACAAATGCATCTTGTAAAATTTAGCAGCTGCACACAAGTCTTTTTTTCCATCTTACAAACCATAATAGGAAATTGGTTTCCAAATAAGGATTTTTGTTTAATACAAAAAACCCTGCTTTTGCTTTTTGCCCGATATAAAATTTGTTTCAACACATTAAAAGGTACTTTGTCCGTTTGTCTAACCGCAAAAAATATCAGCTGAATATAAAACAGCTTTGAATTTTAATGTGTTATCAAACATTTTTAAGCCAATCAAGCTGTTTAGAATGTTTTATCTATGTTAACAGGTTGGCAATCAGTTGAGCTCACAAATAAACAATGCAACTTAGGAAATTAAAAGGAAATGCTTTTTTTTAATTCAAATATTAAACCAAAGAGAAAAGATTTACAATTTCACCAAACTTTATTTCAAACATATTCATTTTTCACATTCTCATACATCAGTGAATCTGTCCTGCACTTTAAAATGAAGTTCACTTTATAACATTTACACAAATTAAATTTCAATACTTGCCAGATTTTATTCAATATTCTTTTTTATCAACAATTAAATTTTTACCAGTTAGTACAGGGAAAAAAAATTAAGAAAAAAAAATCTAAAATGATATCTTGTATGTCTGCATTGATTTCTGTGTTTATCTAGTACCCTACAGCCCAGGAACTTATTTTGTGATGTTGTTTACATTCATGCTCTTCCCACTCCCACTAAGCACAATGTATGGCGTTTTCTGAGATTTCTGTTTCTCTTGAAGCAAAGCCACCGTCCCGAGAGGAGTATCGCTGCTGCTCATCTTCTTTAGCAGCGCCTCTTCCTCTAGCTTTTTCATCCTCTTCTCTGTTTTCATCTTTCCGGAACCTTTCCCGTGGAATCTGTGTGAAAGCTGCCTGAAAGCTTCTTTTGGAGTGAGTTTCCGCCCGGACTCGTCCACATACTCGATCTTGACGTCAGGCTTATAGCCATCTTTCTCCTTGAAATCCTGCGTGAACCCTCTGTATTCCTCTCTGCGACTGTACTTGTCATCAAAGCCCATTTTGTCTTCGATGCAGTAATTATCATTGGGCAGGGCCGCTTTCGGTGCTTTGACACGAGCCACCTTCTGCATCTGAGTGTCCAACAGGCCTTTGTTTGTACACAGCTTCAGTGCAGCTGCAAGGCCGGAGTTGACGATGGGCTCCTCGTCCAGAATGGTGGCAGAGGCTGTGCAGAGATCGGCCTGTTGTTGCTCTTCATCCAGGTTAACTGTGCTCCACCCAATATTCTCATCCATTTCAGAGTCTGAACCCCCACCGTCATCTTTCTCTTCTTCTTGCTCAAAATCAATAATATCCTCCTGGTCCTCTCTGTTGCCAGAGAGTCCATAAGTTGGAATATCTCCCAGAGTTCTGCAGAACTCTGAGGTGGCATTGAAGACAATGTTGTTTTTCTTGTCAGGGTCATTGTCATCATTCGCTTTGGCAAGCACTTTAAGTTTCTCTGCCACCTTCTCGCCAGAGTCTTTGAGGAGCTGTTTCTGCCTCAGCTTCCTCTGCTTCTCCAGCTGTTTTTGTAGCTCCTGCTCTGCCTCATCCTCCTCAATCACAGTCGGCTCAGGAGGAACATAATCATCCTCGTCGCTTATATCCATCTCTGCCATCCTGATATCATCTGACATTTGGGGAGTTTCATGTGGCAGCTTGTTGACATCTTTAGCTTTTCCTTCTTTCTTTGGTTCCTCCTCCTCCTCCTCCACCTGTTTGTGGCCTCTTCCTCGTACCCTTGAGCCAAAATCGGTGGTGCGGGTGTCATCCGGAAGTTCGTCTGCAATAGTGAGCTTCTCCTTCTTACGGATTTTCTTGACTCTGCGCTTCGTCTTTTTGAAGCCAACCATCTCTTGAGGAGAGTAGTATTCAGAGGCAATGGTGAGAGCAGGCATCTCCAGCGACTGGGCCTGATTTCGCAGTGATTCTTTCATTGCCTGGAGCTCACGTTCTCGCTCCCCATCTGCAAAGCCCCACGCACCCAACCGGAAGCTCTTTTTCTTCTCCCCTTCGATTTCTTCATCATACTTTGAGAGCACCGTTTGGGGCTTGAAGGAAACCATATCGTCCACACTCTCCTCCTCTTCATAGGGCTTGTAGTCGGGCTTCTTCTTTTTTAACTCCACATTCTTCTCAGCTTTCTCCTTGTCCACGATTCCAACGTTTACGAGCACATCTTCCTCCTCTTCCAGCACGCCTTTGTCTTGTAGAGTAAGGATAACAGTTTGGCCCTCAGCAAAGGAGTCCACCTTGTGTTGCACTTTGAGACCTTTCAGATCCTGTGAGGAATAAGAGTCTCGTTTGCTTTGAATGAACTCCTCCTCCACTAAGCTGCTAACTCCAAACTCTTCATCCATTTCTTCGAGGAGTTTGGCTCTCTTTTCTGCCATCTCCTTCTCTTTGGCCATCTTTCTACTTTTTTCAACCCAAGCTGCGGTGTCATCCAGCCAATCATCGTCACCGATCGCTTTGACTTTACCCAGCTTTTGGTTAAGCAGGCGTTTTTCTTTCATAGCAGCGAGCTTTTCCCTCATCTCCTTCTGCTGTCGGATCAGAACAGGGTTGATGGTCTCAGCTACCATGGGCTCTTCTTTGGTCCCCAGCTCCTTCTTGCCTTCATTCAGCTCCAGGGGCTTCAGGCCCAACTTTGCGCGGAGTTTGTTCGTCTCCTCGATGCTGAGAGAGGCATCTCCGCTGGCGCTCTGAGGCTGTATATCCGTGTTGCTCTCCTCATATCCAGCATCAACCTTCTCCCTCTTTACCCGAGGTTCTCCGGTGCTTCTTTCAGCTTTACTGTGACTCTCTCGTCTGCTTCTTTCTCTTGATCTGGAGCGTTTCCGTCTGTCTTTATCCCGATCTGAAGTATCTCTGTCTCTGTGACGATGTTTCTTATGTTCACGGCGGCGCTCCTCCGCGTCTTTCTCGCGGCTCTTTTCCTTGTGCTTTTTTGAAGAGCCCATTGCTTTCTGATTAGAGCAGTGAGGTTGTAATTCCACGAAAGTTAAAAGAAAAGTCCTATTTAGTATGAATGTGGAAGGGAATGCAGCTAGCTTCCACTCTAAGACTAGCTAGCGTTAGCTTTAGAGGCTAATTAAACCACGATGGCACAACTCACTCATTTCGAAAAAAAATAACGCAGAGCTTGTTTTCGACGTTCTGTATCTGCCAAACATATGTTTAGTTGTTTGAGCCTCCCGTAAAAGTGTTGTATATTCCAGTTCTAAGGTCCACAAATAACGACGTTTGAGTTGAAACGAGTATTGAACGACAACCTTATCCTTCTTTTGCCTTATCCGGCGGTTGACCGCTCCATATAGAATGACGTACTGCCCCCTAGTGGATGGGCAGTACATGAACAACATCTTCAAATGTATTTTTGACCTTTAGGAATAAAATAGATTATATTTATTCGTTCAACATGTACACCTGACAAGAGAAACCTTAAGAAGATTCATATTTCATAATATTTTCTTTTATAATGAAATATAAGAAGAAATCCATAATATTAAATCAATAAAGAGAATCATTGTGTAAATATTTTGTTTTAAAGCGCACTCACAACTCAGAACAAAGAAAAATAAGAGGCTCTTGGTCTTGGAAATTTTTTTTATTGGTTCCATCTAGAGTCTTAGGCTGGTTAAAACGGCTACATGTTTTATGGAAAATTACCCCCATTTTGTCTTTATATTTATAAACTGTTCAAATTACAGGTCCTTCTCAAATTATTAGCATATTGTGATAAAGTTCATTATTTTCCATAATGTAATGATAAAATTTGAACGTTCATGTATTTTAGATTCATTACACACTAACTGAAATATTTCAGGTCTTTTATTGTCTTAATAATAATGATGATTTTGGCATACAGCTCATGAAAACCCAAAATTCCTATCTCACAAAAAAGGTCTCTAAACGAGCTATGCACCTAATTATCTGAATCAACAAATTAGCTCTAAACACCTGAAAAAGATTCCCGGGGCCTTTAAAACTCCCAGCCTGGTTCATCACTCAAAACCCCAATCATGGGTAAGACTGCAGACCTGACTGCTGTCCAGAAGGTCATCGCTGACACCTTCAAGCAAGAGGGTATGACACAGAAAGATATTTCTGAACGAATAGGCTGTTCCCAGAGTGCTGTATCAAGGCACCTCAGTGGGAAGGAAAATGTGAGGCAGAAAACTGCTGCACAACGAGAAGAGGAGACCGGACCCTGAGGAAGATTGTGGAGAAGGGCCGATTCTAGACCTTGGGGGACCTGCGGAAGCAGTGGACTGAGTCTGGAGTAGAAGGTTCCAGAGCCACCGTGCACAGGAAATGGGCTACAGGTGCTGCATTCCCCAGGTCAAGCCACTTTTGAACCAGAAACAGCGGCAGAGGCGCCTGACCTGACCTACAGAGAAGCAGCACTGGACTGTTGCTCAGTTTTTCATGTCATTTGGAAATCAAGGTGCCAGAGTCTGGAAGAAGACTGGGGAGAAGGAAATGCCAAAATGCCACAAGTCCAGTGTCAAGACCCCACTGTCAGTGATGGTCTAGGATGCCATGTCAGCTGCTGGTGTTGGTCCACTGTGTTTTATCAAGGGCAGGGTCAATGCAGCTATCAGGAGATTTTGGAGCACTTCATGCTTCCATCTGCTGAAAAGCTTTATGGAGATGATTTTCAGCACGACCTGACACCTGCTCACAGTGCCAAAAACGCTGGTAAATGGTTTACTAACCATGGTATCACTGGGGTCAATTGGCCTTCCAACTCTCCTGACCTGAACCCCATAGAAAATCTGTGGGACATTGTGAAGAGAAAGTTGAGAAATGCAAGACCCAACACTCTGGATGAGCTAAAGGCCGCTATCGAAGCATCCTGGGCCTCCATAACGGCTCAGCAGCAACACAGGCTGATTGCCTCCATGCCACGCCGCAGTGAAGCAGTCATTTCTGCAAAAGGATTCCCGACCAAGTATTGAGTGGATAACTGTAAATAATTATTTAAAGACTGATGTTTTTGGATTAACAACACTTTTCTTTTATTGGTCTGATTAAATATGCTTACTTTGTGAGATAGGAATTGAGGGTTTTCATGAGCTGTATGCCAAAATCATTCGTATTGAGACAATAAAAGACCTGAAATATTTCAGTTAGTGTGCAATGAATCTAAAATATATGGATGTTCAAGTTTTACCATTACATTATGGGAAATAATGATTATCCCAGTATGCTGATATTTTGAGAAGGACCTGTATGTTGTAACTGTGAAGGAGAACATAGTGCAGCATATGGTGGATGCATAGTACAAAGGGAAGCAAGACACGCACAAAGAATAAAAATAACAGAGAAGGTTTCATATGCTGAGGCATTAAGAAAAGTTAGAAAAGAAAGTACAAATGACCTGGGAACTAGAGAAACAAATCAAGGAGATTTAAGTCAGGACAAAAATACCTAACAAATTAAACGAAAGTAAACTGTTGTCAGTTCACAGATTAACATAATGCATGTAAGCACAAATGTAATGTGGATGAAAATACAATGATGGTGAAAAAAGATAACTTTGTGACATTTATTTGTCACATTATTAATGTTACAATGCAAATGAAAAAGAAAAGTGATAAAATTAAAGATTGTAGAAGCACCAGGAGGGTTCCTACACATGAAAGAAGTACAAGTGGATCAAATTCACAAACTTCTGAGTTCAGCTGGAATGGAATGCTAGATGTCTCTTAGTAAATGGTCAAGAAAAGAAAAAAAAAGGGAAACAGCTCCAGATGTTATGTGTTTTGGGGAGTTGTTTAAATTATTTTTAGATTTTATAATTTCCAGTTACAGTTCAGTCAGAAGAGATAGAAGTAACAACTGTAATGAAGGAGGTTGTGCAACATTCATTAAAGATGGACTGGCATATAAAGGAAATCATGTACCTGGAGAGTATGAATGTGTCAGTGTAGAAATATTTAACTTAGAAAAAAATTAAATTATTAGGATTCTCAATTCCTATAATTGATGTAAAAATTTAGAAAGTGAGATTTTTGATAAAATTTCAGGATCAATAACAAGAAGAGAAATTTGATGTGGTGACTACAGTGCACATAATAACCTATGGGGAAGCAGACAGATGGATAATAATGGTAAAATAGTGGAAGAAATGAAAGGTGACTGGTGTCCCTTAATAACGGACAGGGAACAAGAAATGACATACAGGTACTATGTCATGCCTGATTTACCTTCAGTATCTAGTTTGATCGTTAGTTCTTGTGAGTGGAGTGTGAGGGGAGAATCCCCAATAGGAAATGATCATTATTTCAGGAAAAGTGAAATTATATGATCAGCCTATAAAAAGCAGAAGAGCAGCAGAATTCAAATATTTAGGAGTATGGTTAAATAGTATAGTAAATAATAGTTCATATACATGGAAAATGCATATTAAGCATATTTACAGGGATCAGCAATAGATGATGGATCTATGGTATATGGAGGAGCAGCAAGATCAACATTACAAATAGTAGATAAATTACAATATAAGACATTAAGAATAGCTACTGGAGCGACTAAGGCTACCCCCTTTACTTCTCCTTTAGACGCTGGGGAAACTCCTTTAGAAATGAGACGGGTCAAAATATCACTTTCATACTGGATCAGAATTAGAAGTAGCGGTGAAGAAAACCCAGCATCAAGCATAATAAAGAACTGTTGGGAATATTCAAAATTTACAAGAATGGACTTTGGCTGGAGAGGAAATGAATGGGCAAAAGTATCTGAGTTAGATGATAAGACATTTTCTAAAAATAACCCAATTAGCGCTGTGTCACCATGGCTATTTCCAGAAACAAAAGTTGACTTGAAACTAAATGAAATGAAAAGAGAATAGAAACATAATGGGGTTGGGGTTAAAATTGGCTTTTATATTAGACAATTGTATTATAGTTATTTAAAAATGAAGGCAGATGGTTCAAAAAAATTCAAATGGAAATGTGGGAATAGGGATTTACATTCCAGAGATTCATATATGTATCTGTAAAAGATTAACCGACTTTCTGTCTGTATACACAGCAGAAATGGCTGCAATAATTATTAGTTTACAATGGGTGGAGGAGACGGGTTAGTAATGAGCACAGATTCTCAAGCAGCAATAGAAAGCATTCCCTCAGAAGGAAACTATAGGAAAGACCTAGTCTTAGAAATGCATCAGAGTTTATTCAGGTTATTTAGATATGGAATAGATGTTCAGTTCTGTTGGGTTCTAGCAGATTAAAGGGTGAGAGGAAATGAAACAGCAGATAAGCTGTTTAAGCTAAAAAGGCTTTGGGAAAGCAGATTACGGTTCAGATTCCGGGAAAGGTAAATCAATAATTAAAAAGAAAGAAGCAGAAAGGTGGAAAAAAATGGGATAAAGATGAGAAAGTAGGAATATTATATAGGGTTTAAAAATCTGTAATACTTAAAATTATGGTGAAAGAAGCAGAAGGGAAGACATCATTTACACTAGACTAAGAACTGGACACACCTCCTTGAATGAGTTTTTGTTTTTACTAGGGAAGACAAATAATGATATATATGTGAGGGGTTGTGGAGGAAAAGAAAATGTGGATCATGTTTGATGAATTGCTATAAATATACAACCGAAAGAGAGAGGGAAGTAATAAGGGAAAAAGGGAGAGAATGGAGTATTAAAAGAATTTTAGGGACAGATGGAGATAGGGAGGAAATTAGGGTCATTAATAAAGATTTTCTTTTATTTTCACATAACACAAAATTAAAAAATAGAATACAGTAGGTGGAACGTTAAGGCTACACACTCATGTACAGTAGGTGGCGGTAAGCACTCATAAGCTGTTTGCAATCCGCCAAACAAATGAAAGAAGAAGGCGAAGATGAAGACGAAGAAGTTAGATTTTTGCCTGATCAACCGTTACAGCGCCACCTGCTGTTTGGCAGTTTTAGCATCAGGCTAACGCTGTCGTTGTTTGTTTCGAGCTTGAGAGCCATGGACGGTATATATTCATAGAATAGCAGAATATGACACTCTACTACAACTAAATATATGAGTACCTTCGCTGTGACTTTTTCGCTATTATTTTAAACGGTAACATATCTCCTTTTCTAAACTTGTCCATCTCTAAAGTCAGCTAATACCTGCGTTGTTTAGTGTTAACTTTTGTTAGCTTTGCTAAGTATACAACGGTACCCGATTTAGATGATGTTGTGTTTATAGACGTTATAAAAGAAGCGTGTCTGTATTAAATACTTTGTCACAGACACCTTCCAATTTGTCTCTGTCGTGGCAAGCTGGGTCCAGGCGAATGGGTTTTAGCCACCTAAATTTCCAAGACTGGCAACTTTAGCTAGTTTTTAGCAAAGTTTCAGAGTAAACGGAACACTATTAATACAGTTTACTGACGTAAAAAAAAAAACGTTTGTTGCCATGGCAATTGCTGGTCATAGAAGGGTCGCATACGTTTGGCTAGCGAAGTTAACCAAGCATCAAACCTGGTGTTAACTGGTAGGAGTGACTGCAACAATGGCGGTTGTTTCACTTTTTACTTGGTAACGGAGGAGTTCACTGGAAGCTAGCGCTAGTATCTCTTTAGTTGTAAGGCAGCGGTCAGTTTGGTTCCCCGGCGGGAATCCGAGCGGCCATCACAGCCCTGTAGCAGCTAACGCTAACCGACAGCTCACCAACCAACCTTAACTTTGTTCTCTTAGTTTTCGGTAAGAAATTAGCAGTAATATAATGATGTTTTTCAGGTTGTTCATTTTGATAGCCCGTGTTTTTGTCGACAATTGTAATATTGCATCTCAACGCGGTGTTATTTCTGATTATTGACTTTTTGCGTGTTTTTAATGTAAGATATGAATAAAGTTTAGTCCATGCGCTTTGTACGGCGATGAATGTGTATTTGAATGAAGCCGTTTCTCTAACTGCTCTTTAATTTCTTTGACGTGTTGACCTCTAAGCTGTTTGTTATTATCATCAGCTGCTGTAACCGGGTGACATGGCAACCGGAGGCGCTCCGTTTGATGATGGTGCAGAAGAGTTGCACAACTGGACAGCACCCAATGGCAGCCTGGAGGACAGACTGAACAACATGGTGAGGATTTTGCACAAGGTGCCAGTCGCGTATAATATTAGTACTTGTTTTCATCTTATCCTTTTCCTGGTGATGAGAGCAGCAAGTCATAGCAGAGACTCTCTACTTCAGTTGACTCCTCTTGATGAGAAGGTCTACTCTGAGCATCTCCCAGATTGATGAACTAACACCCTAGCTCTATGGGAGTGTCCAGCCACCCTGCGAAGAAAGCTCATTTCACCTGCTTGCATCTCGTTCTTTCAGTCATGATCCAGATTTCATGACCATAGCTGATGGTATGAACATAGACTGATAAATCAAGAGCTTTCACTTTTGGCTCGGCTCTCTCTTTACCACATAGAGCGGTGTTGCGTCTACAGTATAGAGGCAGGCGCATCGATCTGTCTCCCCTCACTTGTGAACAGGATCCAAAGATACTTGAAACTGCCCCCTAAGCAGTAACCCTTAACTATCAAGTGTCACTCGCTATAAAGTCACACTCACAGCTTTGGAAGAGGTCTGGATTGTATGTGTGGGCAATAGATGGGGCTAGGGCGCCGCCCAACACCCAATGACCCTGATTAAGACATTATAAAAATGTATATGATTTTTTTATTTATAATTTAATTTTAAATAAAAATGTTAAATATTTTGAAAAATATCTATATATTTTTAGATGTCCAAGATAAATATATAATCTTTAATGACTAGTAAAGCATCATTCCATTTTTCGTCGGATTGGTGCCCTATTTCCGCCCTGGGGCGCAAGAATCTTTGCCAATTGACTCTGGTTAAAAGTTGTAGATGCGCTGTAGCTCCTCTGCAATGCAAAGGTGTAGGAGAGCTCAGGGCGCAGCTCTGTTATGCCCCGAGCTGACAGGAAGTGTATTTGCTCACTACCTCCCACCACAGTGCAGATGTTTGGCAGGTCGAGTTGCAGGGGCTCAAGATGCATTGGAGAGAGAGAGAGAATGCTTCCTGCTTTATATCTCAGAGACAGAGGAATGGTGCAAGAAATGTCCTTTTCCAGGACCTGGTTTTGCAAGAAGGCTTGGCTAACTGCATTTAGCGAGGCTTGCACTTTATTCTGCTTTCCCTGCCTCCTCTTTCAAACGTCAGCATCTGAGCCAGCATGGATAAAGACTGGTAGGACTGACTTAAAACCAAAGAAGAATGAATAATTTGGGATTCACATGGAAAATAATATAATATAGTGTAATTCTTCTGAATGTTTGTTAATTTGCCTAGTTGCTCTTAAATAAACACATTCTCAAAAAATAGTTTTTATATATAGTAAAAAATATATAAAGCTGACCAATAGCTTCTCCATTATTAAACTGGTACATTTTGTTTTTTTTTAGGTTTGTGACACAATATTGGACCATGCAAAACACAGATTTGCCTTTACAAAACATCAGAAGGGCAACTTTTATGTACAAAAAGTAAACCTGTACATGGAATTATGTTTTGTTTTTTATTTTTATAAAGTGATTTTATTATTATTTTTTTGTTCTTCATATAAATATACTGGTGTGATAACTTAGTATACATTTGATTGGTTTTTGGTATACTTCTATTTTTAGTTTTTAGCCCCCCCCCCCCTGGAGATAACTCCACCAGCCGCCACTGTGTGTGGGGTATAAACGTGAATGTGTGGCTTTTTCTCTCCAACGTAAAGGGAAAGCAGTTGTTTCTATAGCAACACAGCGACACCGCATGTGCGTGGCTGTAGCTCTGTCGCGCAGGGTAACATAATATCAAACATTTGCCATTTTCTTAAAAAATAAATCTAACCAGTCAAATAAAACTCTTTAAAAGCGGACCTTCAATTTAGGGATTAATGAAGTCTTCTTTCTAACTTGTGATCTTCTGACAGTTTGATGAAGATTCAGCAGAACTTATGTTTGAATGCACTTGTTTCCTCAGTCACTAGTTTGCCATTACACCCACTGCCAAATTCCAGCAAGCCGGCAGTAGCAGTGTAAATCACACCCATCATGCGATTTGATTCAGTATCAATTTCCTGACCCATCGATTTGATTATTTTCGATACTCAAGAATCCGCATATTTTAGGAGGGCAAAATATGTTTAGCACCACCGCAGCACGCGAGTCAGAATTACGTCCGGGAGCAAATGGATAAAAATAGACAGATGGAGAAAGAAACATGAATCGATACTCTTGCGGACGTGTCGATGCATTGGATCGATGCATCGATACAAAGTGATTATTATTTACACCTGTAGCCGGCACTGTTGCAAACTCATCATTTAAGGGCTGAATGGTCCACTCACCCTACCATGGTTTAGGATGGCCCTTAATGGGCGGACTCTCCATGGGAACGCGCAGACAGAGGGTTAGGGCTTAGGGATAGTGATTAGTGGCTGGTTTGGGATTCAGCCCTCCTTTTGAAACCAACTAGTTTTGGCTGCTCATGTGCTCCCTAACAAACCCATGGTGTTTTGAAAATATATCATTTGAAGCTAAACGGTTATCCTGATTACTGTTACAAAAATTTGTCTGCTAATCCCACTTTCGTCTGTCAGTTCAGTTCCAAGCAGCAAGTCTGTTTTTAAACAAATAGTTACACTTTTCTAACTGCTGCAAGCATTTTTAAAGAGAGTTGTTATGGCTGAAAAAAGGCAAATCCTTTGTTCTGTTTTTTTTCCGTCATCTCCAAAAGTGAATAAACAAAGTGATTAGTGCTTAGTAAAAAGTTATTTTCTTTGACCTACAAGCACTTGAGAGTGGAGATTTTTTCCCAGTGTGAGGTGAGGCTTGGACACTAATGCTGTAGAGTAGATGTTTTCAATGTTCTTTCACTACTGCAATGTAAACATCTTGTCAACTTTGCAGTTTATTATAGCCTTTGTCGTCTTCTTTATTTAGTTTTTTCTCATAATACCAAAAAACATCACTTATACTTTCTGTTGTTTTGGAGCAGAACTGGGGGATCCAGCAAAAGAAGGCTAACCGGTCATCAGAGAAGAACAAGAAAAAGCTGTCGGCATCAGTGGTGGAGAGCCGACTGACTAATGATATTTCACCGGAGTCCACGCCGGGGGTGGGCCGCAAGAGAGCTCGCACTCCTCAATCCTATCCCCATATCAAATACACTACCCAAATGTCTGTTCCTGACCAGGCTGAACTGGACAAGCTACGCCAGAGGATAAATTTTACAGATCTGGATGAGGTAAGCATCACAGCACTTAAAAATCTTTTTGGTAGTGTGAGTATGTCGCTAATCTGTCCCACAGGAAGTATCTGACAAGAAAAGGAATTTAGTTGACTGAGTACTTGGGTGGCTACACACTGGAGCAGTGACGATGCTCTGAACCCTGCTTTCGTTTTGTCATCTTTGTATGTCTGCCAGAGAAATTCTACTTGTTTGAATTTTATACTTTTCAGAAATTAGGTCCAAGGTTTGCACAAAATAAGTTCTCTGATAAATGCCTGTACATCTACATCTCTTACAGTTTGAAAACAAAATTGTCTAAAACCCTCGGTGCATTTCTCCTTTTCCTCTGATCTTTTGTTAAACAGAGGAGCATTGGCAGTGACTCCCAAGGACGCGTTACAGCTGCCAACAACCAGCGGCAAATGGCTGGAGAGAACAAGAAGCCGTACAACTACCTGCCTCTGCATGTCAACACTAACAAAAGCAAACAGCTGCTCCATCCCTCAGCTTCTGCACCAACTACCCCAGCTACCTCCAAGGAAATGAAAAAGCAAAGTCCTGGGCGCAGGGAAACATCAAGTTCTGCTGTTCCTCACAAGGAGTCTTCAAGGATGAGTCATGGTGGACCAGAGAGAGAGCTTCTAATGGAGAGAGAGTATGAGAGACAAGAACCAAGAGTAGACAGCAGCCAGGTAATGTTTCATTGTTTAAAATTAGGCTGGGACTTTAATGTGTTAATTTCTATTAATTAAGTAGAAACATTTTAATGCATTAAGAAATAAAGCAGTTCATTCCTTTTTCTTTTATACATACTGAAATCCCAATCAGAAGCCCTTATAATCATTGTTTCTTGTACACCTGTAAATCAGAGGCACAAGAAGCATCACAGGAGTTGCTCCAATGGATATTCAACCTTAAAAACCATGGCTCGATACGCAGCGTTTGAACTTGGACCCCCTCACTCAAAACATGTCTACCACACGCTGAGCGCCAACAAACTTTGGTTCGCTACCTGTGCTCTTTCTTTAGCTTGCCTGCTGCGCTCAGCTCTGTCTCTGTGCTCAGTCACAACATGTTTAACTGTGTGTAAATAAACAACGCCAACTGGGTGATTTAAGATAAGTGGAGCTTAGTAAATGAATGCTGCTTCCTCATGTTTGGTTCTAGTTCTGGGTGCAGAGAGTAGGCTGGAACTAGGAGACCTAAGTGGTTCAGGACAGGGGTCTTCCAACGTTTTCCAGGCAAGAACCCCAAAACTTATGGCGAGATGGAGCGGGGACCCCCTATTGTATGCAATTGTGTTATATCAAACTGGTCCTGTAGTCACTCTATTAGAGATGGAGTAATGTAACAAAAGTATTTTTTTCCTGGGATTATTAAAGTATTTCTGATTCTGATTATTTGTTGATGGGACAGGTGTTGTGAATGAAATGGTGTCCAGCATGAAAGAGCTCCTTTGTGTTGCTGAATGTGTGCAGTGATGGCTGAAAGACATCATCTGCCTCCATTTATCTGTTTACTACAGTGTGTTGAATTCAAGTTAATGTGTATTTAAAAACATTTCAATTGGTGGAAAAAATTGCAGGGGGGGGTATAACCTCCATGCAGTACCTCTGTGGCCACCCTAGGGGTCGCAGACCCCCCTGCTGAAGACCTCTGGTCTAGGAGGTTGATACACTGACAACAAAACTGTTATTCATTGAGGTCCATTCAGTTATTTATAAACTAACAGAAGGATTTTAAAGTGTATTCTCTGAGCTACATGGAGCCGGTGTAAGGATTTCAGAACCGGCCTGATGTGCTCTACTTTCTTAATTCTTGTGAGAACAAGGGCAGCAGCGTTTTGGATGGTTCAGTAACTGCCTTTATGTGCCTCTGAAGGTTCAGGCCTGAGTCTATCATGACACCATAATCACTGGTTTCTAGCTGTAGTAGCTGGATAGTAACTTTATATGACTAAAGGATGGATTTAGTCTCTAAGGTCAGTCAGTCTGCCATCTCCTGGTGGAGTTTTGAGTTTTTAAAATGTAGATAGAAAACCCCTCAGGTGTTTATACCTTCATTGTTTTATTATTCCGCTTTTCATTTTCTTATTTTTACCATCCCTTTTTCTTTTTTTTTTGTTATGAAAATGGAGATCTGTATTATCATTGACTTCCAACTTGCAATGATTCACTATGTTGCTCTACCACAGGCACTTGAAACAACACATTAAGGTTTGCGATTCTTGTGAAAAGTAATGTGATTAAAAAGATAAAAGAAGAATTCATAGTTTTTTCCCAGAACCTGTATGTTAGCATATTTTTCCTCACAGCACCCTAGATTATTTAGAGAAGAAACCCAACTAGGATGAAAGTGAGGGAGAGGTTGTGCAGCTGAAACAGGACTGTATATAGGACAGTTTATAAATACGCCACCAATGGTGCCTAGCGACTTCTGTGCCCGTCCCCTTTCAGCCCTTTTGTATCCCAGTTATGGCTATATCTACAGATGTTCCCTTAACCTTTCTTATGTTTTTTTTTGTTTCCTTTTTCGCTTTTTATTATCTTTAAACAACCCCTACCATCACCATACGGCCCTCTACTCTTCCCGGCTTTGAACGGCATCAGGTGGTGAGCAAGCTGGTGCAGATTCGGGACTACATCAGTAAAGTCAGCGCCATGAGGGACGATCTGGTGGAAAAGAATGACGTTCCAGCCAATGTTGAGCGTCTCTCTTACCTCATTGACAACCTCAAGGAGCAGGAGAAGTCCTATTTACGGTTCTTGCAGAAAGTGCTTGTAAGTGCTTGTTTCCATTGTTTTTCTATAAAATGAATAAAGTTGGCTTATGGTGTGTATTCATTTAAAGTATTTTAAAATAGCTATTTAAAGTTCTTCAGTTCAATGCATGCAGTACTTTTTTTTCATTATGCATAAAACCCAAGGAGATGGTTAACAGGAAATTATTATGAAGTCCCTAACAATCTCAGTGGTACTATTTTCCCAGGCCCATGAGAATGACTGTGATTTGGGGACTCTGGATTCTGCTGTCGGCTCAGGGTCGCTGGCAGAGAGCTCTTCTCTAAACATAGAAGTTCAGTCTTCAGATGCTTCAAATACAGCAGTGAGTACATTTGTCTGGCTTTATAAGATTTTATCTGAAACTTTAAATTCCAAAGATAAAAAGCAAAAACACCATGGCTACCATGTATCTTTTAAGTTGGTATTCTTGTAGTATAGCAGTGCATTTATTTGCTGATTTGGATATCCTCGGAGCTGATATTGATATGTGGGGGCGGGGTTGTGCATTTTTAGGGTGGCAGGACAGAAGCTGTTGGTGCTGACCAGAAGGAAGAGCTGGAGAATCTGCGGAAGCAGCATGAGCTGCTGAAGAAGATGCTAGAGCAGCAGGAACAGCTTAGGGCCCTTCAGGGACGACAGGAGGCACTAATGGCCATGCAACAAAGTGCTGAACATGCTCTGGCTGTGATTGAAGACACAGGTGATGTACAAACCTATAAAGAAAACACATTTTCACAAGACAATTTTGTGTGAAGATTAAGAATGTCACGTCAGTCCTTACCGTTTGGCTTCCTTTTTTTTTTTTTACTCCACACAACTTTTAAAAATAACAACAAAAAAGCAAAACCGAAATATTTATGTTTTTATATTTCTGTGTTGGAGGTAAATATTTTTATTATGACAGCAGCATGTCAAGCATAAAAAGTTGTCCATATGTTTCTCTTTTAACTTTTGTTGTTGTTTATAGTTGTGACAGAAACAACCGGCAGTGTTTCTGGCCTGAGCATCACATCAGAACTAAATGAGGAGTTAAATGATTTGATTCAGCGTTTCCACAACCAGCTGCATGAATGTCAGGTACAGTAGAAACTAGAGGTAGATCAATACATTAAGCAGATGATAGTTTTTGCCTATGTTAGCTTTTTTTTTTTTGAGTGCATATTTATTTATATTCATGCAATTGTTTATCAAATTCATTAGTGCATTTAGCAGCCATATCTTGGCCGCTCCCTCCATCTGCAGTCCATTTTTAGCTTTTTGTTTGACCTGTTTATAAAGGTTTCTTATTTAGAATTTAGACTTGTGTAACAGTTATCATTCTGGGATTTTTTATCATGTAAATGTGAGAAGAAAAAAAAACAATGTTAAGAATCGTTACATTAAGAATCGTCCTAAAAAAATATCAGTAACACACATCGGAGATCAGTTAGACTAATGTCAGCATCAACCTTTAAAATAGAAAATGTATCAGTCGATCAGTAGTAGAAACTAGAACTAGAGCGCTAGAATATTCCTGGACATTTTGTAAAATATTTAAAATTAACTGCATAGAAACATTTTTATCTGCCCTTGCTGATACAATGCTGCCCACAATAATTTGTGCTTTTGGTAAAGATGCATCAAAAGCCTTGAAATAGTTATTCCAGTATATTTTTACCCTGAAGGAATGGAGAAATCTAACTTTACATTCAGGAAAAAGTTCTATTTTACATTTCTCTAAGTAAGGCTTTTTACACATCTTTACCTGCAGTACCGTTAAATGTGACCAGCGCTGTAAGTATTAAAGTTAATGAATTTCAAATGAATAACCATTTAGAGGAGAATAATCTAAACAAAAACAGCAGCAGCATTTTTTTGACCATTGAAATTCCTCTACAACATTCCTCCACCAGACTAAAATGGTGCCAGATAACCGGCGTCAGGCACAGAGTCTTTCCCTCTCTGGAGAGGTGTCCTTGTCCTGGTCCCGCCCACACCACACTGTCGGCCCTCCTCAACACAGGCCGCTCCTTCACTCTGCTTCTGGCCCCCATGCCGACCTAGACACCGGCGAAGTGACTGCCAGTGCCAAACTCACTAAGTTACAGGAGCTTCAAGACAAGAAGCAAACCATGGACAAGATCCTGCAAGAGTTGCATTCACTACGAGACCAGACCCTGAACAATAACTCATGTATTCATCTTTTTATTTTATTGTATTTGCAAACATGGTGCAGCTTAACCTTTAGAAAGTGTTGATGAATTGTCTGTGGCCTCCCTCAGGTCGTGGCTTGTCAGCACAGTTCAGTCCAAATAGAGGACTCTCTGCAGATCACCCATCAGCTTTCTGCTCAAACACGGCCTCAACCTCTTCTTCCTTTCAGCCTTTGTTCTCACAGCAGGAGAGCTCTGGGTCAGCTGACAAGCTAAGGTACACAAGATCACTCACACACACAGTGCTCTGAGCTGCTTTGGTATTGGTGGGTCAGATATCAGCAGCGGGTTTTGCCTTAAAGGGATCATAGAATGATTATATAGGGTATTTGGTTCTGGTCCTTAAGGTCTCTGAATAGGGAGTGTAATGGTGGTTGGGCTGAAAATGGCATATTTGCTGTTCTATGCGCCCTAATGCAAGCCTGGTTAAAAGCCCTAGAATTAAACGACAGGTTTTCTTCCTTTTATGGTATGATCATTAATATTTAGATGAGCTGTGCGCTGATTGGTTGGTTTACAACAAGCGAAGCTGCTAAGCAAAGACACATCATTGCAAGAAAGCACTCACTAAAACATCAAATTGTTGATATGGTAGGGTGACCAAATGTCCTACTTTTCATACCTCAAAAATGTCCAGGGAAAATTTCAAAATTGTCTGGGATTTTGGCCGACTACAGTGCAGCACTTAGTTGAAACACACCGGGCACTCGAACCGAGCTGTCAGCTCCGGGGCTGGGCGGGAACCCAGGCAGAAGGGGGCAGGGAGCCAGTAGGGGGCGGAGCAACCGAACCCGACCCTGTGATGGTTGCCTGGAGGACGGCCCCGTGCTTCCATCCGCCTGCATTACCAGACCCACATTTGGTTGTGTTCCTGTATGAGAGCCCCATTTTGACTATAACCTTTGGATTATTGATGGGGTTGAGGTTGGGTTGATTAATGGATGGTTAAAGGAGCTGAATGTTTTGGCGTTTCACCAGCAACAAGTTTAGTGCTATGAACAGTTTATTGGTCATGATTTTAAAGCCAATTCTCTGCCAGGAAGCAAACCTGTTCAATCAATATTTAAAATCACTCCAGGAAAAACCTTCAGAGGAATTACTTTGTATAAGTAAACCCAAAACACAATAAGATTCTAAAAAGTGAGGTAGTGTACAAGTAGCAAGGAGTATGAATTAACAGAACAATATATGCAAGTTAGATTTATACATAATAAATGATTTACATGAATAATGTATTTGCCTACAATATCTCAGTTTACTGAGAGCCAAAGTGTCAGATGTGCAGCCAGCCCGTTACTTAGCAGCAGTTGAAGTTGTGTATTTTGATGGTGGGGGGGCTGCTGCCCACTGATTGGAGCCTTTGGCTGCAGGTGTTCTCCTGTCCAGTCAAGGTGGGGTGACTGTGGACCAAATGTTTGGGTTTGAAAACCTATTGAGGTTGTTTGTTGTCTAATCTTCTCCGTCAGTGGAATCAGATTCCTTGTTGGGATCAATCATTGAGAGCAACAAAAAGAAGACTATATGAACTATACTTTTATACTGACTCCATGCATTCAGAACTTTTTTCACATTTTCCAACAGGAAGCTAAAAGAGGTCCATAAGCGCCTTAATGAACTGAGGGAGTTGGTTCAGTACTATGAGCAGACTTCTGATATGATGGTGGATGCTGTCAATGAGAATGTAAAGGAGGCTGACGATGATGATGATGAGGAGGAAGATGAGACAGAGGATGGATCAATGTTTGAAACGGTGTTTGAGTTGGAGCATGAGAATCACCAGCCTGTCGCAAATATTAGGTGAGTGTGAACATCTCTGCGGAGAACATGGTTTGATGTCTGAACAAATTTACCTTGGAAATATTACAAAAATAAGCAAAAGCTTCATGTCATCTTATCTCAGTTTGTCATTTTCTACGGAATGGTTCTTTGAATATCAATAATAGACATTATTGCTCTCTGCGTCTCCAGAAACCAGCAGCGTAGCGGAAACTGGGCAGACTTAAACAGCCTGACCAATGGACGCAGTGTCAGGAGTGGCTCAACAAACAACCAGGAGGGGAGACTCAACACCGAGTGTGAAATCAACAACCGGGCAGCCGCCAACCTCCGCAGCCTCAAAGTCACCACACCCATAGGTTGGCTCATGAAACACTCTGACAATAATGTCCTTATCCCTTAAAAGTGATATTGGTGATTATAGTTTAGTAATAGATGATCATTTTTTTATTTCAAAGAAATTTTCATGAAATCATAGAAGTTATGTTTATAGAATTAATAATATGAAATTATCTGTAACAGGTTTCTTAAAGTATTGAAAACTTTTTACCTTAGATTAACAGTTTCTATGTACTTGGGAGTTAGTGCTGCCTATTAAATGGCATTAAATAATCACAATTTTAGAGAGGAAAAGGACAAAAATGTTATGTTTACCTTTATTTTCTGGTTTCCTTTTGAATTTTTATTTTCAAACGGTAAGCCAGTCTTGTCTGAAACATGTTTATTGTTTACATGACTATATACTTGTTAAGGTATTCATCACTAACTTATAAAGAAGTAAAACAGGAATTTTCCTATTATAAAGGTACCAGTTTGAATAATAGGGAAGAAGACCACTGGATCGGTAAAAAAAACCCATAAGCTTTAGGCTGACCCACATTCCTGTATAATTACCAAATTTATTTTTGTGAGTTAATTCAAATTTATAGACCAGTTACATTAACTTATTCTAGTTAATATTGCACATTCATGTCAAGTGTCTTAATTTCTAAAGAAAATGTTTTGAAAAGTCTAACTTAGTGCAGCTTGCAGCAAAAATCATTACTAAACACGGCTTTCTGTAACAGCATGTGGTATTTTTTTTTTGTGCTTTAGAGTGCCAGTACAACAGGGACCTTCCCTATGACCAGGTAAAGGATGAAGATGATGACGAGGATGGCCTTGATAACAATGAAGGGGCACATGCCATGCTTCCAGACAGTGTGTCAGAGTCTAGTCGAGGTAGCAGCTTTGGGAGCGGCGCTGGTTTTCCTGCCAAGGTTCACCGCCAGACAGCAAAGCAGAAACTGAGGCAGCTACAGGAGCTGGTGGCCATGGTTCAGGTATGAGAGACTTTATGGCTGAGGATGCTTTCTAACCTTGATGGGTGAATAAAATGAAAGTTACATATGTAACTACGGTTTTATGAATCCCGGATGACTGCCAGATTGCGACGTAGGCGTGGCAGATGTAAATCTTAGTCCAATGGGACAGACGTTGCTTGGAAAGAGGACAGCCTAACCTCAGATCCCCGTTGCATAGGAAAAGCTGGTCAGTGTCTCAGATTGACGGTGGCTGCAATGTATGCCTCCAACTCTCTTACTGGACTCAAAAACTCAGACCTATCCTCATTTGCACCTGACTGAGGCTGAAACCGAACAAGCCACAATGGCTGGTTACGGTGAAAAGTATAAAACACCTTAGGCACAAATGCAGTATTAGGCCACAGGGTAACACCGGAGCCATCTGGAGCCCACCTGATACACATAGGGCTGACAGAGAGAGCATGTAGCTCGCTGACCCTCTTAGCTGAGAAGATAGACATCAGGAAAGAAGTCTTACAGGACAGCCACTTGAGGTCAGCTTGTGCCAAAGGCTCAAATGGAGGGTGGCACAGAGCTGCGAGAACCAGAGATATGATGTCATCCTCTACAACCAGTTCGGGCATGGGTAGGGATGAGAGTCCGGCCACTGGAAGTGAGGCATCAGACTGACGTGTCTGCAACAAGGACTTCATCTCTGCTAACTCTGCTGACAACTACTCCACCGTTGTGGACAGGCCTTGGTCAGGCTTGGCTCGCTTCCTCTGGGGGAGGGGCACAGAAGCCACAGTCCCACCACGGCGCTTAGAACGCTTGGGGAGAGCAACCTGCCCCGAGGGCAGAAGGTCCGAGCCCCAGTGGTGGCATGACCAGGCCAACCAAGCCAACGTCACTGCATGGGGCATAAAACTACAGTTCATGCAGGGGTTCCCAGACAGCGCCTCCAAAAGGTGCTCACGTCCAAGGCAGGTAGGGCACAGGTCGTGGCCATCCTCTGCCTGCAGGGCATCCCCACAATCCATGTAGTTGTTGGAGCCATCCATGTCGAAGGTCAACATGGCTAAGCCCAATTAAGAAATAAAAAATTGGCTAAAATCGGGAGAGGGGGCTCGAACGCAGCCGTCATCAATTATAGCAGAACGAAAGAGGCTGCAAGCACAAGAAGGCCGATACTTGGAAAGGGGGCGAAAACCGCTACAGGCACCAGGTATAAAAACTAATAAACGCTGCAAAAAAATGGGTTGATATTGAGAGAGGGGGAAAAAGCCGCTTCCATCACCAATTATAACAGCACAGACCAACGAAAAGGGCTGAAAAACATACGTTGATAACGGGAGATGGGTCGAAAAATGCTTCCATTACCAGGTATAAAACCAACAAACCTAACAACGTTAGCCGTATCCAAACTTCAGCAAGAGAAGTTGATCACACTTGGTACGGGGGCGAAAACCGCTACCTTCACCAATTACAACAGCGCAGACCAGTGAAAAAAGGCTGCAAAAGTAGGGCATATATTGGGAGAGGGGGCGAAAACGGCTGCCGTCACCAGGTATAACACCAATAAACTAAAGAAGCTAACAACGTTAGCCGTATCCAACTTCTGCAGTGAAGTTGTTCACACTCAGTAGAAAAAGAGCTTGCAATGGCTTTCAGTCTTGAGCCTCTGGTGGTGGGACCTCAAATTGTTTGGAAAACTGTTTGATGCATTGAAGAAAAAAATCTAACCACCTATGATTTTAGTGATGAGAAACAATTAAGCTATCTGTGTGACACAGAGTGATGACACCGATGGAACAACAGCAAATGATGATGAAGCTTTACATCAGCAGCCAAATAACACCAGAGCACCTGTGTGTGGGGCCTCCAAGGGTGGATCCAAACAGGGTCCTGGAGATATTGCACTTACCAGCAAGGCCAGGTGTAGTAAAATAAAATAGTTGAGTCTTGCACTTTGTTGTACAGCTGTCTAGTTAGGTTCATTTCATCACTTTTATACCATATTTGTTTTTCTCACAGGGAAAAGTTGTATGAGGAAAAGTTGCGTCAGCAGAAGCAGGAGTTGAGGCAGCTCCACGAAGAGCGACAGAGACTGATTGAAATCCAAGGCAAGATCCAGGACCTGCAGTGGACCTGCCCAGACCATCTGGTATTTAACTCTCATAATCACACAAAACAATTGTTGCCTTTGAATAGTGAGTTAGCTGGGATGTAAGATGTATGTTTGAGCTGTTAACAGAATTGAGAGTGAAAAAGTGATTCATTTCATGTATGCTGTTTCCCTCCTCTGAAGGAGATCCTAGGAGTAAAGTCTCACTTCAAATCCAGGAGGTCATGTCACTAGGAGCAGCATTTGTCATCAGACACATTAACTCTTTATGACAGTCATGTTACAGCATGCATGCTAAGATGCTTGAGTATGATATAGTGTGATGTCTTAATTATGCCAATCATTCAGAACGATATGCTTTTGCTTTGAACATGACCTGTAAGCAATATTTTGGGTTTGATTTGAGCATTTCATTGAATGTGAAAAATGAAAGTGTATTTGTCTCCTTCCAGTCGTCTGTGTCCAGCACAGCCAGTCAGCAGGGTCTGCTAAGAAAGGCTCCAGTTGCGGTTTCCACTCCGGCTAATGTCAAACCTTCATCTTCTGGACCTAAAACCAACTTAGCCATGCTCAAACCCACTGCTCCAGAGGCAGCTTCTTCTTCTGTCACTGACAATGAGGTAACTCATTCCCTCATCTCCTCCCGTACGCTTTGTTAAAAGATATTATCTGTTCATTTACGTATTCTGTTTTTGTTCCGCCTACAGCTTTGGTCAGAAATGCGGCGGGGACAGATTTTACGAGAAGATCTGAGACAGCGGAGGAAGCACCTGGAGTCACTGATGGCTGAACATCAGAGGCGTAGTGGTCACTGTGACTCTCCCTGTCCAATGGAAGACCAGGAGGGTAGCGCTACACTGTCACACTCTATTAACAGGGATGAAAGGTGGGACATGCACCTCTTAATGGGGCTGCCTCATCAGTTAGAGCTCTGTTATCATTCCTCTTATGTACAGGCCTTTATTTCAGTGTATATTATCAGTCATTATGAACCAGCAAGCTATAACTATATTTTACCAGAACAATGGCCACATGGGGTTCCAGTCCTTGCAACCTAGATGATGATGATGATGATGAGGAAGAGGATGATTATCGCTCAGAGATATGTGCTGAGGAGGAGGAGGAGCAGGAAGAATGTACAGAAAGTGGCTCAGAGGATGACATCCATGTGTACAGCCAGCGCTCCTTTATTAAAAGGAAGAATCAAGGAAGGTAAAAGCAGCTGACTGAAGATGCACAGATTTATAGCAATTTTTTCCCTCAATTTCTGAACAGATATCTGTCATCTCTTTCTAAAGTCCATTTTGCTTGTTTATGTTTAATGTTTTAGCAATCTGAAGCCTCCAGCAGGCTTTTCTGGTGACGTTGAGGGTCATCTACATAATGAGACAAAGGTCAAACAGCAGACCAGTAGTTTCAACCAGTCCTCAAGCCAGTCTGGGGGTATTCGTCGACAGGAGAACCTGCGCTGGGCCTCTGAGCTCTCCTTCGCCGAGGGCACATCTCACTGGCAAGAGCAGATAAACCAGCTCCAGAGACAGTTGGACTTCAGCACCAGCATGTGTCAAACTCTCCTGCAGGACCAGCAGGTCAGATCACTAAACTCACTCAATGAAGCTTTGGTCTGCCCTGCTTCTAACCGGTGTTACTGGATGTCAGTTGGATGTTTGGATCCAGTTCAAGTCAAATTTTTGCATTAAGAAACAAATTTCTTGGCTTGAAAGCAGTGCATTCTGTCTGACACAAGGAGTGATTTCTTTTCAGAAAAGTATTTCTGGAAAAATGGTGACCCTAATAATTCTAAGCCTAAATTAACACAGTAGACCTAGTCCTTAATAGCAGGAACATGAACCATAAACAAGTTTTATTCTTCTTGCATGTTTGTCATTGTATCAGGATATATTTTGAAATTTTAAAATACAATTCCCAGGCAAATCTACCATTATCCCATTTCAGTAATATGGTGATGGTATATTAGTGCTGATAAAAGCCTCAGTGTATTGAATAAGTCATTAATATCTGGGTCAGTATAATAATGCCAAAGGGCTGCTAGGATGCAATTTTACTAGGTTTGATGGTCAGGTATTCACACATTTCATGCCTGGTTGAGTTTATTTTATTTTTATGTGTAGATGCTAAAACACACGTAGAGGTAATGACATTTTGTAATGTTAAAGAAGGAAAAAATGTAAAGGAAACCAGTGTTAATCATTATCTGTGTCATCACTAAGGCATTAAGCAACATTATATTTTCAGTAGATTTCAGTATTAGTCCCACTTATCTGAATGCTGTTTGATCATTGATAGAAAATAAGATTAGATTTGTTTACCAGCAGATAATTATTTCCGTATATTTGATGATCTACTCCTGCAGCTTTCCACACTAATACCATGTCTAAGCAGAGTCAGATGATTGTTATGATTCGTTATATATAATATTTCACCGTCTAGTCTTTGTTTAAGATTGTTGCTCAGTCTGTAAAAATTTTTTTTTTTCAACAGACACTATCATACATGCTACAAACTCTACTGACGGGTCAATACAACACCCTTCCAAACAACGTGTCATCCCCTCAAGTCCAGCTGGTGATGCATCAGCTTAACCAGTGCTACACCCAGCTCGCTTGGCAGCAAAACAATGTTCAAAGGTGAAAGAAGTGACATTAATAAATACAGTTTTATCCCCACAGATGGGAGATTTTCTGTAATTTTTTCCCTTTGTGTTTTAGACTAAAACAGGTCCTGAATGATCTCATTCGGCAGCAGGCCTCTTCCTCCTCAGCAGCAGGTTGGCAGACACAGAAACAGAGCTCTGCTCGGGAATCCAGTCCAGGACCCTCAGCCTCTCCTGGCTTCTTCCTTCCCTTCTCCTCTGCAATGAACCCTTCGACTGTCAACATGGCAAACCCTTCCTTATCTCCATTCTCTCCCAGTATGATTATCACACTGCTATGATATACTCACTACTTTGGGTTTTACCTCGCAGAAGAAGTAACAAATCCTTCAAAAATCTAACCCTTTTTTTTACAGTAAAATAAAACACTTTTGTTCGCCCAATATATCCTATCCTGAAAGCATTTAAATATGTTTTCTCTTTCTTTTAAGGCTTCAACCTGTATCCCACCTTCCCTGGTGCCATGAGCGATTTGCCTCTGGGTGCAGAAGGTACAGCTTCATCTGAACATCAAAAAAGGGATCAGAACACATCAATGAAAACGGAGTACATGGGTTTTCCTCCTCCTCTACATCGCTCTCCTCTTAACACGGCAACAGAAAGACGGTATGATAAACCTTATTATCTCTAGAGAGGAAACTTATTGGCTAGACATTTTAGTTAATGCTCCCGTTTTTTGTGTTTACATCATTAGATCTGGGACACGACTGAACACCTCCTACACAAACAACATAACACAACACTCCCTGTCTAAAACAGAGCTGCAAGAGTCTCCTTCCTCATCCCCTACTTTTAACAAATACCAATCAAGGCCGCAGGAGTTTGACAAGGCATCACAGGAAAGCTTCTGCAGTATTCCTGACCCTGTTGATCCCGCCACAGTCACTAAGACCTTCAAGGCTGGTAAAAAAGCCTCGGCTCAAGCAAACTTGGCTTCTTGGAGCAAAACTCCCAAAAATAGACGCAGCAGGAAGAGCAAAGGACACAAGAACAGTGAAGGTACAAAAGTCAAATCACTCTCCTGAATCTACTTGTATCATAAAATATGTGAAAATAAACCACTGAAAACTTTTACATTTTTGTATAGGTATATAAATCTTAATAGAATACCAGAGCTTCTCGTGTCATTTTTTTTCCCAGGCCATGATAGTGACAGCTATAGCAGCACTGCAGAATCTGTCCAGGAGAGGGCAGCCTCGTCACATCATAAAGACCAGAACCAGGCTTTGTTGGACAAACTGACTCAAGAAAAACTGGACAGCAAGACGAAGGTCGGAAGCAAGCGAAATGACCTCTCCTCTGGTATGGCTCAGATCCGTTCATAAGAAAATGTTTAGAAAAGCGGTTCCCCTTCCTCAGTCTGTAGAATATTTTTTTTGTGTCTACAATTATCATTCACATTTGTATCAATATTTTGATTTCTATCATTATTTTCAAACTGTTTTCCATATAAACTTGCAACATCTAGTTAATCTGAATAGATTATGTTTCTTTATACATTAGCCATTTTTCTGACTATTTTAATTTTCTACCCGTTGTTGCTTTGAATTTATCCTACTCACAGCTTATGCTTGGAGAACACCCTTCCTCTCTAACAGAATTGCATGCACAGAAGCACCAGGTAAAGTCCCCATGCAAATCTTCCATCATTTGCTTTTTACTTTCTCACCATCATGCATGCCTTTTATTTACCCTCTCCAAAATGTCTACATTTATGTGCAATATTTTGTTGCTCGCAAATGTTGTCTCATTTGTTTTTACTGATTATAAAACATGCATGGAATATACCTGACGTTCTAAAACCTCTGGTTTGTAGATGCTAGCAGTGACTTCTCCTTGTTTGAGGCTCTGCGGGAAACGATCTACTCGGAGGTGGCAACGTTGATATCCCAAAATGAGTCCAGACCTCACTTTCTAATTGAGCTTTTCCACGAGCTGCAGCTACTCAACACAGACTATCTACGCCAAAGAGCTCTCTATTCTCTACAGGTGACTCCTTTCTGTTATGATCAGTGCAGCTAAACATGTTTTGTTCCAGAACATGTTTGTAAAAAATAAAATATAATAATAATAATAATCTGTCTGAGCCAGTTGAAAAATCTGAATCAAAAATTTGAATTAAACCACACAAAAAAAAAACCCATTGAAATATCAGAGGATGGCTTTTGTCATCACATATATCCCACAGGACATAGTGACCAAGCACCTGGCAGTGAGGCGTGCAGCGGAGGATCAGTTGCCCCCTCTTGGCTCTGTTGTTTGGACAGCAGGCTCTCAGTCTGAGCTTACGCCGAGCCAGAGTCTGATCACCAGTGATGAAGTGAGTCTTCTTTCCAGCCACTCTGTTATACACTGCTTGAAGGAGTATTCATATCCCTCTGTCTCTTTGAGATTTCATCGTATTGCAGCTAAAAAGTGGGAGATAGGATGGGTAATAAACTGCAACATCTGTGGAGGTATATCCACAGGTGTAGCAAATTCGAAATGTTGAAGTCTTCAACTGCCAATAGGACTTAGGTGTGGACTATAAACAGGAAGAACATGCTTAAATGTAAACCCCTCCATCAGTCTCTGTATTTTTAAGATGGTCGTCCTGCTGAAAGGGGAAGCACTACCCCAGTATAAAATCATTTGCTGCCTTTTCTTCAAAGATCTTGCTCCTTTCATCCACTCTATGGAGTGTCCATGTCACCACAGCATGATGCTGCCTCTGACTTTCATTCTAGAGATGGTGTGTACAGGGTGACGTGCATTGTCAGTCCAGCTGTTCCACCTTTAGTGCTTCTTTTCTATTTTTTTAGTCCTCACCCTTTTAGAAAGCAATTTTTTTGAATTATCATCTGAGCTGTCTGCTGTGCCCCTTGGTCTCCATGATGCTGTCTCTTCCTAATGTTTTCTGATTAAACCTCTGAGGCCTCCTAGGAACCACTGTATTCACATTGAGATTTAATTACACAAGTTCTATCTTCTGATCAGGTTACTTCTGAAGACAATTTTTGTCATTACATTTGTTTATGGCCACCAAAGTTAAAGGCACTGAATTTATTGTTTTCCTTCCACTTATCCACAACATTGTGTTGATTTGTCGTATAAAATCACAGTAAAACTCAAAGACGTTTATGTTTTTAATGAGTCGGGTTTGAATACTTTTATAAGCCACTTATCTCTAACCTCTTTGTTGCTTATTTCCTCTTTCTCTTTGTGTTAGTCTTTATTGACATCTCTTTCTGTCCTTATAGCCGTACTGTGTCGTCCTTAACATCCTCCCTCTTCTACATTTAAATGCATCTTTTATTAGTTTTTCACTCAGCCTCGTCTTCTTTCATCGGCCTCTATCTTGTCGCCTGTCATCCTTACATGTTTCTTTATTCTCTGATCTTAATTTTCTCTCGCCCTTCTACATTGTCTTTGAATTTGCCTCAACGGGAAGCCTTAGAAGCTTGTCTATAAAAAATGACCCCCATCTCTCCACGTCTCTTTTGCCAGATTAGACATGTGTTCTTTGTTCTCCTCCAAGGTCCCCAGAGTTGTGCTAATTGGGAGTCAGGTCTTTTGTCTGTCTGAATACGGCCTTTGTTCAAGAGTGATGGGTGAAATGTTGGATTTATCCCCTCTTCCTATAAAACTGTGCTTGGGAAGCTGCTATAGTATCTATAAAATAAGCCCCACATTTCCCCTGTCTGCAGGCATTTTAGGTAGGAGTTCAGGTGTTTGAAGTGAATATTTGTTGAATCATCTGCTCTCTTACTACCCTGCCAGCCAGCATAGTACAACTTCATAAAGAAGGCTTTCTTTTTGCAGGAGGTGTTGGAGAAGAACTTGAGGCATGCTCAGGACCTAAAGAGGAGAGAAGATGCAGAATCTGTTGATAATGACAGCAACATGTCCACCTCTTCCAACCTGGAACCGTTTGCTAATGATGACCTTGGTATGTTTGGGTCGTTTTTAAGAACAGCAGTTTAAGTTTATGATTCACTACTTTTCCCTACCTTTGTATACTGCTGAATTGCTTTGCTTTTTAACATGGAACTTTAATAGAGGATCTGACACTTTATTAACAGGGTTTTTCAAGTTAATCTCTTTGAACCAACCAGTTTACATGTTAGGATGAATGCTGAAGTGGAAGAGTGACCCAGGGTCCCTTCATTAGCGGACATCACTAGTATAAATTCCTAGTGAAGCTGAGAATCTTTGATCCTATACTGTAACCTGGTTCTATTAATATTCATTCCAACCCTTTCCTTTCAGTTTAAACTTTTCACATTCTTCTCTCTCCTTGCTCTCCTTTCTGTGCCACTCTGACAGGCAACACGGTGATTCATTTAGACAAAGCTCTGGCAAGGATTAGGGAGTATGAGCGCATGAAGCTTAAAGCCGAGTTTAACCCCTGCAATGCCAGCACTGCAGGCGCAAACAGGTCTGAATTGACAAATGCTAATGGTGCTTCATCTAACCCTGCTGAACCAGTGGAAGGTATATGATCACATGACGTCGCCCGTGCTTAGAAACTTCTAGCGCAAGTCATCATCTTTTAGTTTTCAGTTATAACCATCTGTGCTTAACTAACTTGTTTTCTGTAATCAGAAAGTGCAGCCAATGGTGTGCACTGCCCTCAGATTGACACCCAGCAGCTGGACCGGCAGATAAAAGCCATCATGACAGAGGTCATTCCCTTCCTCAAGGTATGGAGAATAATGTATGGCAGATTGTGAGGGGGTAGTAAGGATGTTATACGAGCCTTAAAATACAGAATGTTTTTATTATGGGTTCATATTATATACTTTTATTTCATTCATCCTCCTTTTGGCATGAGGATGTCACTATTTTGTTTGCTTTAACATTAAACAAGGCTAATGTTTAGACAGAGGAAGATTTTTGTCCAAAATCCTTTGTCCTAAAAAAAATAAAAAACAGACCCACAGAATCACAGATTGTTCTCCACACACAATAGTTTTAAAGTATTTATTGCCTTTCTGACAATAAAACTAATATAATTGTTTGTTTTTTACAAACTTGATGTTGGTCACATTTGAATAAAGCAGAGTTTTAGTTGAAAACCTTTCTGAGTCCCATCTTATGGTTGTCGTGGAGACCTTGCTACATAAAGAAGCCACTCTTTAGTGCAGTAAAGTATTATAATTTTAATTCAAACTTCACATTACATGTATTTTAACATAATGGTAGCAGATACTGGTAATTGTGGCAACTGTGTTTTTGAGTGGTCAACATAACTATTGAAACATAGTGTAAATCTCCTGGCTTTACTTAAGCGCAACTAATTACAATTTTTAGTAAATTTCCACGTCACTACTTTTGCCTCAACTGTACATAGGCCCGGTGAGAAAATGAACCTGACGAGCAAACCGGGACAAACATTTTCCTTTACAAATTTATTAAAAAAATGTTCTGTCCATAAAACCTATAAAGACAGACTTAAAGACTTGGATAGATTTTATTTTGTCATTTTGTACACACAAGTGTATACAAAAAGAAATTTCATTTAGTACAGCTCTCTAGACTTTTCATTTTTTAAAGCGCAGCCTTGATAAAGGTCAGCAGCAGTGATAAAAACACTGTGGTGAAAAAAACACTGTGGTGGAAAAAATGTATGTAAACATACAACTGTATAGTTAGTTCCAGCATTCAGGGATTTATTTTTTTATAACCTATTTTATAATTCTTCCCCAGCAGCCTAATGGCGGTGGGGAAGAAACTGTTCTGAAATCTACTGGACCTGCATTGGATGCTTCAAGGTCTCTTCCTCGAGGGCAGCAGGGAGAACAGTCCATGGTGGGGGGTGTGAGGGGTCATTGATAATGTTACGGGCTCTGGAAAGGCAGCGCTGGGATAAAATGTCTGTAATGGAGGGAAGAGGAGCCCTGATGATCCTCTCTACTGTTCTTACCATTCTTCTCACCTTCTTCCAGTCTGAGGCGCTGCTGGTCAGAACGCTCTCTATGGTGCTTTTGTAGAAGGTGGTGAGGATGGGTGGGGGCAGGTGGGCTCTTCTCATCCTCCGCAAGAAGTACATCCGCTTTTCTGTCCTTTTGATCAGTGAGGTGGTGTTTAGTTTCAAAATAAAGGTGTGGGTCAGTGAAGTCCCCCAGCTCCTTTATTCACTTCACCCAAAGCTAATGCTAAATTAGCTGATGTTCAGCTGGATGATTGTGCTCCTTAGTGG